CTGGCTTTAAATACCACCGTTTAATTGCTGTGTCATGACAGGATAATTACCAACTAATCAAGGGCATCAACAGGCCTGCAGACCGCAAAACACTATTCGGTGTGTTGCCACGATTCTGTTGGGAATTGTGGTTGCTGTTTGGTGGAAAAATAGCAATGGAAATAATATGAACATTAACTAAAAAGATAGAATAGTGGCATAGACATTCAAAGAGAGGGAAAGGTATTGCTTCAACATGCATCCCTTCCAGCTTTGGTTGAGTGCTAATGCACTCCTCACACCTAGCCAGACCACAGCAGTAACACAAGCCATGTGTCAGATGTTTAAGGGTTCTGACAAGTCTCTGTGCATCTGCTAAAAAGCGGCATTTCACAGCTTTTCTGTGATGCAAATGGCCATCATTTGAAATTCGATGAATAATTATTTGTCTAGAGTCATTCAGCCTTTAGCTGTGTTTAATAAATACACTGATGCACTTATCATGGGTTTTGTTGCACATTTTTGCTCACATTATGAATGCAGTGTGAAAAACCTGCATTTTAAATACAGACCCTGTCAAATTTTTCCAACCTTGAGCTTCGACTGATGTTTCCAAAAACTAAAAATCCAAAGACACAAAAAACATAAAATCATGCATGGTCACCTGTTGGGTAAAGAAAGAGCTAAAAAAGAAAAGAAAAGGGAGTTTGGAAAAAAAGAGAGGTACATTTTAGTGATATTCTTGAGTACTGAAGAAATCAGCATGTTTCACAGGATTGTTGGTTGGCTGCGATTTCTGCCCAGCTGAAGAGGTCTGTGAAACTGGATGCATTTCAGGTGCTAAGAGAGATGAGAAACCTGTGTAATAGCCAATGTAGAAATGTGCTGATCACTAAAATAAGGAGATAAATGGAGATAAAACCCTTTCATAACACTGAATTTTCAGTGTAAGGTCTGCCTATTTTTATGCAAAGGTAAATATTCATCAACAGTGGTAAACCAAGACTGCAATGAATATCAGACCTTTACAATGAACCCATGTTAGCTGGTTTCAGGTCTATTTCTTTTAATCCACTATCCTTATTGTGATGTTAAGCGTGCTTCCATTCCCACAATGTTTACATGCACTGGATAGATATTAAACAGATGAAATATCTGACTACCAATTCTTGACATAGATGGCCATCCTGTCTCTATACTAATTTTTTTCACGTGTTTAGTTAAAATTTGCTCTTGGTCTGTTTATATATTTATATTATACGAACAAAATTATTAAGCCACAACTTTTAACTCTTTGAATTCAGGTGTTTTCTGTCCCGTTGCCACGGTCATGGGGCCACCACTCTACCTACTGAGCTATCCCTGCCCCACATAAAGACCACATAAAGTTACAGCGTGGGGTTTGCTGAGGTGCTTAGTGTTTAAAAGTTGCCAACCTCTGCTGACTCGATGACTGCAGAGCTCTAAGAGCTCTGGCATTAACATCAGCACAAAAACTGTGTGCTGGAGGTTCACGGCATGGGTTTCCATAGCTGAGCAGCTCCTGTAGGTGGAATGTGTTCATGGCCTAGTATTTATTTTCCATGGTGTATAAGGAGTTACGATCTTTAATTCCAGGAAATATTCCTGCTACATTTCCCCACAGTATTCAGTGAATTGGGGACAAAGTTCATTCATTTTGATCTGTTGATCTGATACATTTAACTGTGACAAATTTACAAATAAGCAAAAGGGGAGCGGGGGAATTAAATTAGCAGGGGGTCAAATACTTTTTCATGGGACTGTACTATTAAAAATATTATAAACCAAATCAAGTTTGTGGTGCAAAATCTTGGACTGAATAATATAGTGAATAGTAATAGAGCTGTTAAATAAAAATAAAAGGACAGAAGGATAAAGTTGTACAAAATTTTAATTTAAATACCTCAAAACTGTACTGAAACACAGTCATTGACTAACTGAGTTAATTTTCACCACTGGGAAATGTTAAAACATGGGAGAATCAGATGAGAAATACTATCAAGGCAAGTCAAATCATAATCAGGAATTGTCCATCGATAAAACAGAGATAATTAAATCTGCAAAACATTTAGGTTCAGAGAGAGAAGCTAAAACATGTTTTCATGCTTAGTGCAAGAATACTTTCCCACCTTGGACCATAAAGATCTGAATCGAACAAGTAAGGGTTTTCTATGCCTCTATCAGAACAACAAACAAAAATGAAATTCACAACCTTTAGATTGGTTGAGGATCTGCTCACTGCAGAGCTCAAATAGATCCCAGGCGGCAGTCTGCATCTTCAGGGTGGTGGAAAGTATATGTGCTTGAGTTGCAAGTTGCTATATTCCTGTAGTATTTCGAAGTCAAATGAAATGAAGCTTTGATGAAAATGTGAATCTATTAAAGGCAAAATTGTGTGCACTGACCCAAAACACTAATACCTGAAATCACCCCTTGATGACCTGCATGGATTCACTGTCACTGTGTGCACTGAGCTAGTGAAAATTTGTTGAGAAGGAAATCTAAGGGGTATGACATTGTGAACACTAGAGAGGTAGGTTTGATTTTGTGTCATCTCACTGACGTGATTTAAACAAAATGACACTCTGCAGAGTCTCATATATGTGTACACACATATGTGTATATATATACACACACATATGTGTGTGTATTTATGTTATTGCAGGTTCTCCTTGTGTTGCACTGCATGGTGTATAACTGTGTTTTATAGGAACAGAGCGTTAAACACGCAGTATGTTCACACCTATTTCAAGATATACTTGTATTGTGGAAATACATATTTACTGGCAGGGTTGAACTCAGCAGGGGTGCTGAGAAATATACTTCACAGACAAAGAGCTTTTTAGTCCAAACGAGGTGTCTTGATTGCAATACAATAGCCCTCATCAGGGAAACAGAAAGTCTGCAGATCCAACAGCTGGCCTTACTATTTATAGCTCTGGGAGGGAGTTATTTTTTTTTTCACAGTTATGCTGTGGATTGCCTGAGAGCTTAAAATTCACATAAATGTTTTGCAGTTGTATTTGCTAAAAGGTGTTGATTTACAGGTATTCAGAGCCAGAAAAGTCACCTTGATATCCCCTGCTACACTAAATATTTACTAGTCACAGTCTGTTATTTTGATGTGTATGAGTTGTGTAGATTATACTGAGAGCAGGTCTGAAAGATGAATCCAATCACAAAATGTTCCCTTTTCTATTTAATTCATCTGATTAAGCCAACAGGTTCACGTTTAAACACCTAAATGCTCCGCATGTGATTGCATCTCCATCTAGTGGGCAAGGTGTGAACTGCTGACTGATTCCAGTAGTGAAGACTCCCGCAGGATGCTTCCCATTTTTTCTTACTTTGCAGTAGTTAAAAAAAACATAAAAAAATGCAAAACAGTACTTTCAATATTTATTTCAGTTTGTTGCATATTCAGTTAAATATTACTTTTAGTTTAGTCAAGTTTGGACTATTCCAGCACATCATTTTCATGCACTGAGCTGAGAGTTCTGGTAATTTTTATGCACTAAATTAATTTTTTGGGTGAATTTTTCTGGTGAAAAAGCCAAATGCCTATGCACATTGCTACAGGATGTTATGAAAAACACCAAAACTGTGCACCAAGCAAGAGTTCAGCACATCATCTGCAGCTATTAAGTATTATAATTTGCTTTCAACTAATTACTCTCAATATTTCTTGCTAAATAATGTAATTGCCAAGTCAACACACATAAAGACGTTACTTATTTTGTTTTCATCTATGTGCAACTTAAGCTTTATTTAAAACAAACAGATAAAAGATATGCATGTAAGATGGGGAAAAAATAGGAATAATAACATTCAAGTAGACTGAGATGTAAAGTATATCTGAGAATCCATCAAAGATCGGGGCACTAGAAATACTAAGAAATACTAAGTCACAAACCATGGTCAGACTAAGTACTTTAAGTAATAGGGATTATTTTGAGTTTACATCATTACTGTAGAGCTCTGAGGTTCTTCCAGACCTGATTTGGATGGGACCATGCCCCGAGCCTGACTTCCTTCAAGACTCTTTTCCTTCCTAAAGGAGAAAGCTTATTTATAAGTTAGATGGCACTCATGTTAAATTAAATTTTGTGTGGTTCAGAGGATCAAGCATGGGAACTGTCACCTTAAGAGTTATTCAGTTTGGATCACTGAACACCAGCACCCATGAGGAAGAGAAGTAAATGGCCTGTATTTATATAGCGCTTTACTAGTCCCTAAGGACCCCAAAGCGCTTTACATATCCAGTCATCCACCCATTCACGCACACATTCACACACTGGTGATGGCAAGCTACTTTGTAGCCACAGCCACCCTGGGGCGCACTGACAGAGGCGAGGCTGCCGGACACTGGCGCCACCGGGCCCTCTGACCACCACCAGTAGGCAACGGGTGAAGTGTCTTGCCCAAGGACACAACGACCGAGACTGTCCAAGCCGGGGCTCGAACCGGCAACCTTCCGACTACAAGGCGAACGCCCAACTCTTGAGCCACGATCGCCTGTTGTAAGGCACTCTAGAGAAGTGTCTTACAACAGGCTGCTTTTGCTTATTTTGTTTGGGAACATAATCTGTCAGTATTACCTCTCCAAGGTCCGAGTTGTGTCCAAGTACACAATATTTTTAGTTTTTAGTTTTTCTTTTTTTAGTTTAGGTTTTACTAAAAAATGTTGTTGTTGTTGTTGTTGTTGTTTAATATAATAGCAGGATGGCTGATTTAAGAACTTCATAAGAGGTAATACAACTTTGCTGTGTTAACTCACAGCGCGTTTAAGCTAGGTTTCATATTTGTCTAAAATCGACTTTTTATTATTTATTTATTTTTCACTCCTAGTTTTAATTTGCTTTTAGTTCCCTGAAATAACCTGTCTCAGTGCCACCCTCCATTGGCGGTTTCTATGTAAAAAAATAAATAACTCTTTGGTTACCCTTGACTACACTACCCATAGTGCACCATGGTATGCGTCCGTTACTGTGATTGGTCCAGGTTGGTTAGAGACGTTGTTGAACTGCAGGTCGGAGAGAAAGAGCAAACAGAGGACCTCGGAGTTGTCAAATGGTTGAACTATGGCTGCGCCTGTTAGCATGTGCTGCCGTCTGTTTGACAGAAACGGCGCTTTGACACGTGTTAGGAAACTGTTTGCACGGCGCGTGAACAGAAGCATCGCGCGGAGCTGTTCCGGTGTTACGCACGAGGAAAATGAACTTGAACTCACAGACTCGACTATAGCTGGTTCCAACTTCAAAACCAGGGCAACACAGGTAAGTCAACCTCCAAAACAGTAACACAAGCCGGGCCTGCAGCTAAGATTGTCCTGTCTGTGTTGAGTCGCAGGCTGAGTGAAACCTTTAAGGAGTAAAGGTGAGAAGCTTATAACCTGAACAGGTTATAAACTGGGCCCAGGAAACACTAAACTAAGGAATAAATATTAAACCAAATGGTTATCCATTATGACAGCGTGGCTGTGATATAAAAGGGGGTCATGGGGTGTATTTTTGGCGTGATTGTGAGAACCAATCAGAGGGGGGAAACAACACCTCACCTGCTTTACGTTTGTCACTGCTTTGTAGTTTTACATACTTGATATCATGTGATAAGATAGATGTGATAGCCAGCATGTTGCAAGTAGGAAAAGAATTGTTATAAACTAATAAAGTTGGTTGAGATTAAAAGTAATTTTTTCTATTTGGATTGAAGTTGTGCTTTAGATGATACAGATTTTGAATCTTTTGGACCGTTTGGAGGCCCAAAGTATAAACAGTTTAAGAGGGTGTTATTGAGATAGTCTACTTCTTTAAAATATTGTTTCTACCTCATACATACATACTCTATCCATGTGCTTGATAATCAGAGATGATTGACAGAGCAAGCATGCTCCTGAATGTCCAGTAGTCAAATAACAGAGTAGCATTCATTGTTCATCTTCTTGCTGTGTCTCTCTGGGTTGCAGGTGTATATTACATCAGTGACTATAATAATTATGATATGGCAATAATAGGGAAAAATTGACTAAAGTGTGCATAAGTGGCTTTTATATGAAGCTTTTTACCTTAAGAAACAATGAAGGGACTTGGGAAGGTCTAAAAAGATCAGTGCAGTTAAATGATCAGCCTGTTGATTAACAGAGTGTCTCCGAGCAACTGCTGAGTCACTGGTTTGCTTTTACACTGGTAACTTTTGACATAACCGCAGGTGCTCATGAGTGATGGGCAAAGGTCAGGAGCTGGGACACAGATTTGGCTTCAGCTGACATTATTGTGTCTCTGGCATGATGGGACTCAGAGGGGCTGTTGTGTTTGATTCAAAATAAGACTGCAGTGATGCCAGGGTATATAGTTTGATCGGTGTCTTTTCCTGGTTCTTTTCCTCCCCAGAAGAGGCTCAGGGATGACAGCATACTCCCCTTTTCAGCATTCTTGACTGACAACTTTGGCCGCAGGCACAACTACCTACGAATCTCCCTCACAGAAAAATGCAACTTCCGCTGTGAGTAAATGTTTATTTTCTGTGGATCCTATCAAGAAACCATTGTTACATTCCCAGCCCACTAGTGGAGCAACATTATTAGACCAAGTTAACCATCGTAATTAGTAAACCTTTCACAGAAGTGCACTAAAATGCCCAAATTCTGCTGACCTACTGGAGAAAGAAAAGGTTTTTCTTTCCCGCACAGTAGAGTTTTTGGTTTGTCCCCTCGTTCCCTTTTATTTAGTTGTGTTACTTCAGTATTTATCGTAGTAAAAGAAGGAATTCTCGCTAATGTAGGCTAAAATACATCTTTCATCTTTCTCATTTCTAGGTCAGTACTGCATGCCAGAGGAGGGGGTGAAGCTCACACCGCGGGGCCAGCTGCTATCCACCTCTGAGGTGCTGACCCTGGCTCGCCTCTTCGTCCAAGAGGGGGTGGACAAGATCCGCCTCACTGGAGGGGAGCCACTCATCAGACCTGATGTGCTCCATATTATCAGTAAGAAACAAGGAGAAAATAGTTTGTGCAGGCTTTTTTTTTTTCAATAATAAAACAACTTGGAAGCTGTTTTGAGTCATTTCACACTTTTTTAACACTTTGGATCAGCTTGTAGCAAACATAAACTTGCTTTCTTCAGTTTACCGTATGACTAAAATGATGTAGTGACACTGTTTTCAGAGGAGCAAGTCAGCTTTGGCAACCAGGCGACCGATGATTCATGTGCTAACTCTGCTGACTTGACTGCAGCTGAAGTGAAGAGAAGCAATTTTGCATGCATGCCTTCAGTTTAAGGGTTTCTGTGGAAGGGGAAATGATTTGTTACACCACAGTTGTGTTTTTGGTCTAATGATGTATTATTGCATCGTTTGAATTTTACAGCCTGATTTTAAATTAAACTTTGTAAGTGAAGCCTCTGCAGCAAGAAAAAGCCTGTCGTGAATGAATGAGGGTGTGTGACAGGACTAGTGGGTCAGGTCTTTTTGGAAAGAGGACCATTGATTGCCACTAGCTGTGTGTGAGGCTCATGAGACTTCATGCATAACTTGGATTTGGTTGCACTAGTTATTTCAGGAAGCAAGAGGATCGCTTGAAATAACGGAATATAATTTATTGAAGTGTGGAGTTTGACTAATAAATGATTTGCCGACATTGGTAGGAAGAAATACACAACAGTATTGCTGATGGAGATTAGAGTTGGAGACTCTGATGAGGCACATTGAGCATCCAGAATAAAGGTGGAGATGAGGAGGAGGCAGAACACATGAATGAGAGTCTGAAACGACTGCACTGAGATTTAAAGCTCAAGGAACAGAGGCTGAATGTCTCACAGGAGGAGCGTGAAAAAGCTGCAGTGAAGCTGGTTGTGTTGTTTTTGTTGGCTCACAGAACCGCTGATGTGGCGTGTACAGTTATAAACAGGATCCACAAAGATCTACTGGTTACAAGTAATGGTAGTTGGCTAGGTTTACTGGATGGATTTAGTTGCATTGTGGTGCTGTGTGTGTTTGTGAGTTCATTCTGCATTATCTTTGCTTAATGTCAAAATGACCAGAGTAACTGTACTAGTTATGGATAATAAAAACTTTAATAACCCATAAATTTATTTAAAGAAGTTTTTTCATTGATAGGCATTCAAGCAAGGAAACATAATTTCCCGGTGGCACAATATGCTGCATAGTAACAGATAAAGATATCCACTTTACATGGCTAAAGATTTTGTTCTGTTATCATGCTGTAATGATTGATTTATGTATGGATAAACTCATCTGTTATATAATATTTCAACCTTAAAGGTAAAAGTTCACTCATTGCATTCATCAGTTTTCTCTCATTCTGTCTTGCCTTTCCACTTCTACTCTGCAGCTGAGCTCAGAAAGTTGGAGGGCCTCAAGACTATCGCCATGACAACCAATGGCATGAACTTGGCTCGGCTTTTGCCAAACCTTAAAGACGCCGGATTGGACCTGATCAACATCAGCCTGGATTCATTAGTTCCTGCCAAATTTGAGTTTATTGTCAGACGGAAAGGTATGGAAGCGTCGTCAGTGTATCAATGTCAGCTGTGTGAGACATATGATCAGAACACCAATAGTGTGCGTAGATTGAGGAGGGAAAAAAGCGACATCACGAGGCTGTAGCTGATTGACGCTGTAGTTTAGGAGTGTATAACCACAAAAGTGTCAGATGGTCAGTGAGATATTTTCTAAATCCCTACGTCTTTAGAAAATATGAAGGAGATTGTGATCTGGTGATGGTGGAGGCCATTTGAGTATAATGAACTCATTGTGATGTTTAAGATGCCAGTTTTACATGATTTTAGCTTTGTGACGTGGTGTGTTATCCTGCTGGAAGCAGCGGTCAGAAGATGGGAGATGTTACTGTTACTGTGGTGATAAAGTGATGGGTACTGAGCAACTGTACTCGGACAGGCTGTAGTGTTTAAATAATGCTCATTTGGTGCTAACTGGCCCAAAGTGTGCCCAGATAATTGGCTGATTGACTGACTTCAGATGAAATTAAACATATTTAATATTCTTCATGTGTGGCTAAAAACCCTCACTGTCTTTATGTATGAAACTGTTCCTTTTTTTTAGTGTTTCCCTAGTTCAGCTTTTTCTTCTAGTGTATGATAGGCATAAATCAGTGTAGTTTTTGTTGTGGGTCCATCCCACAAGCTTAGGGAAGAAGGCTGTAAGCTGTAAACACTGCAGGTGACAGCAGGGCAGAGCTATGGGTGGTTGGCTCGTGAAAGGCAGACACAGATGGACTAACTGAGATTAGGACATGAAGAAGAGCGGAGAAAAGAAAACTGGATTTACAGCACCTGCCTTCTTGTGTTTGTAATAGAAGTTACTGTTGAAATCTTGTTTCTTTTCTTTATTCAGGACAAATTGCAGTTATGCAAACTGTAAATAAAACATAAGCCTCATCCTACATAAAGATCCTGCTTTGATTTAATTGTTTTGAGCAAGTGAAAACAAATAATGACTCTGACCTCGACAGTGTGCTTTTCAAAAGCTTGAGCTGCTGTGGAGGGATTACATGTTTCTATACAAGTGGTTTGTGGTGAATTACGGACATTAAAAGGTGGAGGAGAACAGACAAGGCCGAGCTTTTCGTGTGGAAGCACCACTCATTTCAGAAACCACAAAGCTTAGTTCTGATCTTTGTTTTTGTTGTATGATTCAGTGCATTTTTATTTCTCAAAACCTGCCTCCAATCACACACCATTCTCAACTTTAGTCGTATTTTAATAACATACAAACTTTACTATTATTATTTATTAGTAGCATTACTAATGCACCTAATGTAAAATATTAATCTTAGTCACATTTCATTTTCTACTTGCCTTTTCCAGGGTTTCACAAAGTAATGGAGGGCGTTGAAAAGGCCATTGAATTGGGCTACAGTCCTGTGAAGGTATTTGTTCATTTTCATTCATTATTAAGTCTCTGTTATGGAAAATATCCCCACTATGATTCAGTGTCTTCCTTTTTGTTACTGTTTAACATTTTTGCAGTTTATATATAAGTATTAAAATGGGTAAGATTTAATTGCAGGACAAGTGTTTCACAGTTGCAGAAATGTAGCAAGTGCAGAGTGCCCAAAAACTCTGAGATAATCAGCTAATATCAGTGAGAGAAAACAATAAAATCATGGTTAGGAAAGGTGAATTCCCTGTGATGACTTTCATATGGTGTTTTTGGATAATGTGTCAGAGTGAAAGCCTGGAACAAGAGAACAACAAGGGGCTGAGGATGGAGCCTTGGGGACCGGCATTTGTACTGATCTAAGATCAATCCTACTGTGGCGCTGAGAAGTCAAACGCACTGAAACCTAAGCAAGTAGAAATGTTGCAAAAGCTGCTCTGCTCTGGATCAAACCACCAAAAATGTTGGTGGTTTGATCCAGTTGGCATGCCAAATATCCTTGGGCAAGATACTTACTCCAATTTGCTCTCCAATGTATCCATCAGAGTATGAATGTGTGTGAATATTTGATATAAAGCACTTATGTAGGAAAAGAACAGAAATAAGTGCTTGTATGAATGGGTTTGAATGAGTGAATGAGGCAAGTCATATAAAACACTTCGTGTGCTTAGTTAGTAGTAGAAAAATGCTGCATATGAATCAGTCCGTTAACCAAAATCAAGCAATGACCACTATTATGAGCAATTCCTTTTACTTGTTCATAATGAGAGACACAAACTGTTTTGCAGAGTGCTTTGGAAGTTGTCAGATTTTAGTTTTAGTTTAATATGTTTCCTCCAGTAGCTTCTCGTAACCTGATTCCCCTTTAGGAAGAGTGTGATTTTTATAAGGCTTCTCTGTTACAGGAGTTTAGGAATGCCAGCATAAAATAACATTATATGTCCATTACCTAGTCTAAAAAATTGTTGTTCTTCATTCTGTTTTGCTAAGCTGTGCGGTTAGCTTGATGCCCCTGACTGCATGTTGATCAAGAAGTGTTGTGGTTCAGCCTTGGGTCAGTGAAGGACCTTCATTTGTAGATCTTTAAGCATCAAATGAGTCACATTAAATCTGCTAGACAGTTAAAATAAAACATGATGCTGTTTTAAACTTTCACGTTATTTATCAACTCTTTAAGAAGGCAAGAAAAAGCTTATGTGGACGGGTCTCCTTTTGAAAAATTTAGACTTTAAAAATATAGTGAATTATTCCAGTCATTAACATCACTGGATGAATTCTCATGTATAGTACATCAAAGTCTTATAAGGCTGTTATTATTGTGTTACATAATTAAATATTGGCCCACACATCTTCAGTAAGTCATTTTCTGTCGGTTGTTACATAACCAGCTTGTTAGGAAAATAATGGCTCAGTAATCAGAGGCCTATTGTTGTTCACTTCTCTTTGTAGATCAACTGCGTGGTCATGCGAGGCCTGAATGAGGATGAGCTGCTTGATTTTGCAGCACTGACAGAGAAGAAGCCTCTGGAGGTGCGCTTTATAGAGTACATGCCCTTCGATGGTAAGTGCTCACACCCCATGAAGAGTTTCAAATGCTCGTGCAAATGTTTTAAACATCCATTGTTTAAACCCACACTTCCTGGTTCGTCTCCTCTCTGCAGGCAACAAGTGGAACTTTAAGAAGATGGTGAGCTACCAGGAGATGCTGGACCGCATCAGGCAGAAGTGGCCCGACCTGGAGAAGCTTCAAGCTGGACAGACAGACACAGCCAAGGTCAGTGTCTCCAACTGTACTAAATTACTTTGGAGATGAAATCCTGACAAAGATGGTTGATTAATTATTATATTTATACTGAAAAATAAAAAGTCATGTTTCTTGTGTTCCTCTGTGCATTTTCTCCGACACATCCGAGTCCCTCTGATCAAATAGACCTGCAGGATTTTTCTATATTTCTGCTTAAAACATCATCAGATTATAACACAAGTCCTAAAAACAAAAAAGAAGACAACCCAATTAAACACATTAAACTAAAACATCCAAGTGAACAAAGTTTCAGGTGTCGGAGTCCAATGAAGAACTTTTTGTCACTGGTTGTAACATTTGAAAGTATATTTCTCACTTTTTTCCCTGTTTTGAAACAGACATTTAAAGTGCCAGGCTTCAAAGGTCAGCTGGGCTTCATCACCTCCATGTCCGACCATTTCTGTCGCTCCTGCAATCGTTTACGCATCACTGCAGACGGCAACCTAAAGGTAAAGCCGATAAAGCTTTAAAGCTGTTCGTGAGGTCTGTTATTGTCCTATGGCACAAATGTTCATGTATGCATGTGTGCAATTATAGATGGGCGGAGCTTGTGGGCGGCAGGTTGTGGAGCAAAAAGGGTGGTTTGTGATTTGTTAATAAGTGACAGAATCTTTTGCTGTTACTTGAGTTTTTTGTAATTTTGATGAGAATCTTATTGCTTTTATACATTTTTCTTCACCTTCATGTATCAGTGTCCCTTTTTCTTCACCATTAAGGTCCTTTGATTCTCCTTCTGGTCATTCCCTTTGTTTTTGAGACAAAACTTTTAACTAATTAGAATCAATATACACTGAAGGTGTAGAGGAGGCTGCATACACTTCACTCTGAAACACTGATTTCAGTGGTTTGCGCCAAGCAACAGGATACAAGCACAACTACAGAGCTCTTGTAGGCGCTACGGTCAAAGTTCAGCAGAATGTAACTTTGACCACTGTGAACTATGACGACTGCCTGTCTACCCAATAGGAAGATGGCATCTCTTTCTACTGGTAAGGTCCACTACAGGCCATCTCTGCCTTCAGCTGAATATGGCAGAAGGTCTTCTATTGGCCACAGTGAGCTGCAGAGCAAAGTAGAGGAAATGTTTATTATGATGCATTTGAATTCATTAAATTATACAATATTTGTTTGGGTTTGTATCGAGACCAATGTCATAGACTGAGTATTTCTTCACCTCTCACCTCTTTTATATCCCCACGTGTTACATACCACTACAGCATGTCATTGAATTGTGTCTAATCTCTCCCTTAGTCTGTTTTGACCTGCTTTATTTCTGCTCTCTTTCTGTTTTGTCTTCTCTTTCTTCTTCTCTCTTTCCCCTTACCCCAGAACCCGTCACAGCAGCAGATGGCTGCCTCTCCCTGACCCTGTTTAAAAGGAAGTTTTACCTTCCCGTCATCTCAAAAGTGCTTGTTCATAACAGATCACTTGATCGTTGGGATTTTCTCTAAGAATACTGTCGAGTCTTTACCTTACAGAATAAAGCACGCTATTGCTGCTGTTAGCTTAATATAAAAAGTGGGTTATTCTCCCACTATCTCTACTGATCTATTATTAAGTTCTTAAGCAATTTTTGATATTAAAGTGAACTTTTACACAGACTCCAGGGAGCCATTTAGTTAATGTTTGGTGTCTAATCTTGGATTTGGACTGCATTGCATTTGAGAAAACAGCTTTTCACTCTTTCCCGTCCGTCTCCTCTCTCAGGTGTGTTTGTTTGGTAACTCAGAGGTCTCCCTCAGAGATGTCTTACGCTCTGGCGCGTCTGATGAAGAGCTGCTGCAAATTATTGGTGCTGCTGTGGGCCGGAAGAAGAAACAGCATGCAGGTAGAAATCAATACATCATACAATTTTAGGATTATGCGCACAGATTGTTGTAATATTTGTAATTTATCCCTCTTTCTCTCTTCAGGCATGTTCAGTATCTCTCAGATGAAGAACAGGCCTATGATCCTCATTGGTGGGTGACACAGCTGTACGTACAAAGACCTCATTCGTGTTTCTTTAATGTTTTGTATTAGGATTGGAGCAGATCCACATCCATGCACTTTCCTTCTTAAAGATCAGAGAATGTTGAATCAAAAAGTTCAGCTATGGCTGAACTTCACACTGCTGGGCTGCCAACTAGTGTTTTAGAAGTGGTTGCAGCCAAAGTAGTTGTGTCAGTATTCTTGACTCATTTATTTTTGTTTTCCAGCAGGTACCACATCTCAGACGTTCCTGCCAAAGCTACAAGACAGCAAGAGGGCTTTCCTCATTAGTTCCCAGCTTAAAAATGACACGTTCCTCTCTCCAGCAACAACTCATCATTTAGGCAGCAGGAAAGTCTTGAATAGAGAGGATTGTTTGTGCCTTTCAGACTCCACTAACTTAACACAGGAAGCCAGTGTTTGCTGCTCTGGAACCTTAATGAGTGGGGGTACCCATGTTAAGATGCATATCAACACAGAAAAACCTAACCACAATGAAGTAGCATCCCTTCCCTCTGCAGAGATTGATAATGATCACATTAGTTGTCACACTAAGACTGAATGTTTCAGAACACGCACAAATGTCACAAGCTATGTTAATGAAGTCTGTCTCAGGAACGCACAAGCCCTGAGTCCTAATGTTCTGACGAGCCACGTGTCCAGGACCCCAGGAGCAGCTGTTTTTTGCACACTGCTGATAGATGCCAAAATAAATCAGAGAAACCACCCTGTTAGATTCTGCCACAGTCAAAATTCCAACAAGGTTGCCAGTTGTAAACAGTCTGAGAGCAACCAGACAACAGATCTCAAAGCTCAGCTGACACATACAGACGCCCAGGGCCGCGCCACCATGGTGGATGTCGGGGGGAAACTTCCCACATGTCGAACAGCCGTAGCCTGCGCCACCGTTAGCTTAGGCCCCACCGCCTTCCGCCTGCTTCGAGATAACCAGCTGGCCAAGGGCGACGCCTTGACTGTGGCGCAGTTGGCTGGCATCATGGCTTCGAAGCAGACCTCCACCCTCATCCCCCTCTGCCACCCTTTACCCTTAGACCACACCTCTGTCACATTTCACCTGGATGAGCTTCTTAATGCCGTCGTCATCACAGCGACATGTCGCACCGCGGGCAGGACGGGAGTGGAGATGGAGGCTCTGACCGCTGCTTCTGTAACAGCGCTCACCGTCTACGATATGTGCAAGGCGGTGAGCCATGACATCATCATCACGGATATAAAACTCGTCAGTAAGACAGGCGGTAAAAAGGACTTTCATCGTCATTCAAAACAGGAAGAATGAGATCAAAGACTGCACTATGGTTTTCCACAAATTAAACTTTGTGCCATCAATGAAAAACACATCCTCTTGGGCAGTTATCTCTCCTAGTCTGAATCGTTTTGTCTAATATGTAGTTTACTGAAGTTTTATCAATATTTTCAGTGTCATAATTCCTGCTTTTCCCTCCAGAGGGTGCACAAGTATTACATTGATAGTCTTCCTTGGAGGTTTTTGGAGTGAAGAAGAAACTGATTGCAGATGGCACTGATAATGTGCTTTTAAATTTGAAAGAATTTAATTTATGAAACTTGAAAACTGAACACAAACAAAAGAAGAGAGCAGCAAACGTTTCAGTGCATATTCCAGTCAGTCCCATACTCGCTTGCTCTTTTTCTTAACTTGCTTTTTATTGCAGTGACTAACACTACCACTATGATTGTTTTAACCTTGCTTTTTTTTTTTTTTTTTTAGATAATTAGGATATGAAATTTTAGTTTTGATGTTTTTCTACCTACCTCTGTAGTACACTGCAAACTAGATTTGTACTACATTAAAGTAGAGGATGGTAGTAAAATAAACTTATCAAATGACTGATAACACAAATAATCCGTTACACAGTACGTTAACCCATTATTGCTCAATATGTTGTTAAAGTCTGTGTTCCTGTAACTTCCCTCCACTTGTGTGCTGTCTGTACCAGCCGTTTTCTTTTGTTTTTGAAGATTATTATGATTTTCATTGGTTGCATTAACTGTGCATTCACTTCACATCATCACACATCTCTTTTTTAAAAAATGAAGTATGGCATGTTTTGTGTTCATTTCCCTCTCAGAGAATGGCAGTATTCTCCGGTTATATAATAACGTTCATCCACTGGATATAACAATGACTAATGTGTGGCTTGACAGGGTGGTTCCACTCTGGTTACAACACACAGCCTGTTCCATTATGTTTTTCAGCTTAATAAAGAAACACTAAAAGGGACGATCCTGGTATTTTTGGCCTCGAAGTCTTATAGCTTGTAAAATGAATGCCTTACGACTTATTATAGCAGGTTTATAAGGACAAACTGAAATGAAGGAGTCTTGGTTTTCTGACTGCATAGTTATCAAAGCTCATCTTGTACATGGCTTGGTACCCAATCTGTAGCTAGTCTCTAGCTCATTCCCTTCTTCCGAATGATGGAACGCTGCAATCACTGTTTTGCTGTCAATGTGGATGAAAATTCCATCATCCTATTCATGTAGCAGCTCGGTATTTTCGTCTCTGGTTCCGCAACACCTGACGTGGACCTTATTAGAGTTCTCTCTCTGCGTTAAGCTTGGTTAGCAAGGACCTTTACTGGATACAAACACTGCAGGTGAGAATCAAACCTGCAACTCCTATTCCAAAGGCATGGAGTCTTACCACTACACTGTCCAACTGCTTTTATTCCTCCTTTTATTTCTGGTTATTCATATATACATATATATTGTAACAGGGAGAGTGTATGAAATAAGATCTGCCTAAATAAAATGGCATATGTTACATTAAAAATAGAAAAGATGTGTGATAAAGGTACGCCTAGCCTGCCTCCAAACAGCTGAGAAAGAGGGAAGGCAAAATTGACACAACACACAGACAAGAGAGTATAGTAGTGTAGAGACTAGAGTAGTGGGTAGACTACACGTCTTTGGAGCAGAGGATCGCAAGTTTGATTCCCACCTGGAGTGTCTGTATCCAGTAAGGGTCCTTAGACTAGAACTCCCCCCTACTAAGCGATCAACAGGGTCCGTGTCAGGTGTTGAGGAACCAGGGCACCCTGACAAGAAGGGAGGTACAAAATAAATGCTATGGCAAGGGGGAGCCAGGACGCCAGGTCAGGGGGCGTTATCATCACCCCCATATTAGATCACTACAATAGGGCAGCAGTAATCAGTGAGATGCTTGGCTAAAAGGGCTAGAGGCTAAGATCAAGGTAGTCAACATAGGTGTCAGCAGCTGGAGAGGGACGCAGTGGTCATGATGATCCACTCGACTCTGAGACCATCACAGTGGCCGACTGTCCACTGACCCTCTTCATATGGGTTCTTGGTTCTGTATTCTCCTTCCAGGGCACAGCAAAAATCTTCATGTTGGCTGTCCAGTGGATCATCATGGCCACTGCATCCATCTCTAGCTGTTGACACCTTGGTTCTGTGGTCCTGCTTTTGATTTCTCTGGTGTAGTTGTTGATTGGCATATCTCAGGTATGGTTCCTGTACTTCTGCAAACTCCCTCTGTGCTACCCTGATCTTAGCCTCCTGCCCTTTCAGCCAAGCATCTTACTGATTACTGCTGCCCTATTGTAGTGATCTAGTTAGTCTCAATAGATATTGTACACAGTGCTGCATTAACATCTAGCAGACCTAATATGGGGGTGGGGGGTGATGATAACTCCCCCTGACCTGGCGTCCTGGCTCCCCCTTGCCATAGCATTTATTTTGTACCTCCCTTCTTGTCAGGGTGCCCTGGTTCCTCAACACCTGACACGGACCCTGTTGATCGCTTAGTAGGGGGGAGTTCTAGTCTAAGGACCCTTACTGGATACAGACACTCCAGGTGGGAATCAAACTTGCGATCCTCTGCTCCAAAGACGTGTGGTCTAACCACTACTCTAGTCTCTACACTACTATACTCTCTTGTCTGTGTGTTGTGTCAATTTTGCCTTCCCTCTTTCTCAGCTGTTTGGAGGCAGGCTAGGCGTACCTTTATCACACATCTTTTCTATTTTTAATGTAACATATGCCATTTTATTTAGGCAGATCTTATTTCATACACTCTCCCTGTTACAATATATATGTATATATGAATAACCAGAAATAAAAGGAGGAATAAAAGCAGTTGGACAGTGTAGTGGTAAGACTCCATGCCTTTGGAAAAGGAGTTGTAGGTTTGAGTCTCACCTGCAGTGTTTGTATCCAGTAAAGGTCCTCGCTAACCAAGCTTAACGCAGAGAGAGAACTCTAATAAGGTCCACGTCAGGTGTTGCGGAACCAGAGACGAAAATACCGAGCTGCTACGTGAATAGGATGATGGAATTTTCATCCATATGTGTGTGTGTATGCAATGAGGACTCCAGATGACTTTGTTTCTGTAAGTCTTGGTAACACACGCCCTTTCTTTAGCATTAAATAACTCATCAAAAACAACCATATCAGAATGATTAATATAAGAGCAAACCTCACACTTTGCCCCCCAAAATTTGTACCTGTCATCTGTTTCAGTGAGAGGTGATCATCAGTCTTTCTGAAATGTAATTCACCATGCCGTCATTTTATACAACACGTTCTGCTCTGCTCTGAAATAACTCGAGAAATGGGTTGAATATTGGTTCAAACACGCAGATTATGCAGAATGTTTTTACAATTTAAATCCAGCACCAGTAACCAAAGCTGAAACTAAGAACGGAGATCAATCAGGGTAAAAACCAAACATTCATCAGCATCAGCGGTTAAACATGGACCATTTGTTACCTTGAATAATTTCACTTTTTCATAATGAGAGGCACAAACTGGGGTTTGTAGAGTGCTTTGGAAAATGTTTTGGTTGTAGTTTAGTTGCAGTCCAATAGGCTCTCGTAACCTGGCTCCAGTTAAGGAAGATTTAGGCAGGCTGTGACCTGTGCATAAATAAAGTAACATACAAATAACCATTTCTTGGATGGAGCCACTTTATTTCTTCATCACTGGAGCCAAATACTTTCCTCAGGATGATGTAGATGCACAGAGAGTATTCATAAAGCTCACAACCCTCACGTCATACTGGGCTCTTTTTGTGCCACTTTTTTCATTCGTATGAACGCCATTTCCGCTGTGTTGGGTGTAACATAGCCAAACTTGCCACCCGGTTTCGTTTTTGTAAAAAATTCAAAATTTCAGTCTGATTTTCTTACATCAGCCTAACACGGCTTAGCAGCAAAAATACTCACACTTGACACCCTAGGGACCGTTTTGTGCCCCATTGAAACCCATTATAAACGCTATTTTTCACGGCAAAAAAATTACGGTCAAATCGATCGTGATAGGTAATGCTTCTGTTTCCGTTTGCAGTAGTGGCCTTAGAGTTGTAATTTTTTTATTTGTCCACCGGGTGGCGCCCTTGCTCCACATTTGACCCCGGGCTGGAAAACAGCGGGCTGCTTAAACAGACCTGCGGGAAACGAAGCCTCATTTCCGGCGTGCAGCAGCGGCTTCGCCCGCTGATCGGGCGGGACCATTTCCGGCCCCTAGGACCGTTTGAGGGTGCATTTTTTTTTAATCAACAGGAAATGACGTATTTGTTGTGACGTGGTATCGGACGTGTGCGCTGGAAAAAGGAGTCCGACGCAACATGCCCCGTTCATCGTCGCGAGTTAACCCGGGAGGATGCACTGATTTCGGCCTAGAGGAGGAGCATTTGCCGCCTGGAGACCATTTTCTGGTCCTGGAAAAAAAAAAAAAGGCGATCGAAATGAAGGTTGGTGCCAATCTTTAGTCCATCTAAAGGCCTATAATAACAATCAAATATTACTTCAAATGTTTGTTTTTTTTAATATTTCGTTTTGTTTTGGGGGGCTAAAAAAAACGGTGCGCTCATGTAATTAAACTGCGATTAAAAGGGTTAAAACCCCCGAAATATAATTAAAACTTTACATGAATATTTCAGGGAGAAGTAGTTTTAAAAGACTGGCTAATTTAAAGTGGAAAAAAATATGAATATATAATCTTTTTATAGCATTTTTCGGGCGTGGCAGAAAACGGTCCCCAGGGTGATGAACGTAAGTTTTTTAAAGTATGACGTGAGGGTTAAATCATCCATCCATCTTCTTAAGACACTTGACCACTTTATTCCTACATCCCATCAGAAAATTAAGCTCATTGGAACAAGTTAATTTGAAAACCACTGACATTTTTCAGGAATTTGATTTGAATGGCTGCCACTAAACTCAAAATGAATACAAGCATCTCCCCATCCTCCTCATGATCCAAACGCTTGACATAACCAATGAGAGTGAAGGAAAGAGAAAAACAATTTGTTGTAAGGGACAAAAGTTTATTGTAACCCTACAAAAGACACAGGGTGAGAGAAAAAAACAAAACCGAAACAAAATAAATGAAATCAAACCAAAAGAAAAGCTTCTCGTTCTCATACAAGTGTCAGAACTATCCATCATACACGGACCACAGTTTAATGATTCTGATTTTTAATATAACATTTGTCGTAATGCGTTGTGTACATACAAAATATAGCAAACTAAATAAGGCAAATAAATAGAGGTACAATTTACAGGAAAATGGAACATTCCTCATGTTTTCATCTTTTTTTTAATCTTAACTCAAACATCAACAAACGTGTACAAAATGCTTTTTTTTTTATTTCTCCAACTGTATATCTTTCAGGTGGAGGGTACGTTTTTCTTTTTCTTCCAAACATGAAAATACTGACTCCTCACAATTATACAAGCTCGAAGAACGGGTGCAACTTTTCTCAGGCAGTACAGGCTGTGGTTTAACAGGTGTGTTTCAGTTTGCAAGCAGTTTTCTACGAAAGGAGAAACAATTCACACTCTGTGCACCCATCTTTAGGCATGCAGCTCAACACCATGTAATGACAGAAATGTGGTATTGACATAAAATACCCCACCCACAACCGCCCCCCAATCCCTCTTTTTAATTTTTTTTCTCCAGACTCACCAAACCAGGAGACAGGACCTGCTCTGTACCACAGTCGCCTCTTAGTTTCCCCACAAATCCCATCTCTGCCATTCAACAGACTCTTAAAGTGTTCCAAGCGGCCCAGCCAGATACTCAGCCTCACTTTCCTCCCTTTCCTATAAACACCATCTTTAATTTCTTCTTCTTTTAAATTTTTTATTTTTATTTTGCACCACTCTTTCGTTGCACCCTTCTAGTTTCTTGAGGGACCTCAGCCCTCGCTGCAAATGGAAATGTCCCATCAACAAAGTGCATTGAAACAAGCTACTTATTTCCATCTTTACACTCAAAAAAAAAAAAAGAAATCAAAAATCATCAGCCAGTCAATGGCCAAATAGACATCCAACCATGTAGCAACACAAAGGTTTTAATACTGACAATACCCCTCAGGAAATAGTCTGCACTACAACACGGGTTAAAGCTCTGAATGAAGGGTTTAAAGAATCTGATGAAGTATAACTCAAAAAGGATCAGAGGCTAGAAAACAAAAGGACTAAAATATACACAAGATGCTGGTTTATTGAGACAAAATCAAGTAATATCCTCTTTTAAAATTTTAAAAGTGTCTGAAAGTTTTAAGTGATTTTGGTTCACTGGTTAATCTCTGGGATACAATTTCTGTCTCACGTTATGTTTTTTTTAACCTCACAGTAGCTTCTCTCTGCTTCAGAGGGGAAATGAAGAAAATGAACTAAAAGTGTGGAAGAACTCATATAAAAGGAAGTGAGTGAGTTTAGCTGTGCACAGGTAACACATAACCCCAAACCTTTCTGAGGAAACATTTAAGTGCACCTGCTGAAGTTATTTGGGAGATACTGGGTAGAGCTGTTTTTGACAGGTTGTGAGGTCAGTGAAGTGCACTATAATCGGCCACAAGATGGCGCCATATCCCCACCAAATTCTGTAAGTTTGCTTTGGAAGCCACAAATACAAACGTGAAAACAGGATCAGAGGCACTTAAAACTGAACGTTTACACAACGAAGAACAGAAAAACTCCAGAAAGGACAAACTGGGGAAGTCGCTGTTAGAAATACAAACATGGTGGGTCGAGACCTCTCTTCTGACTCTGAATGAATGTGATGGTTAACATGTAAATGTATGCTTGATGTTGACTTTACACCCCACGATTAGAGCCGTCTTTGTGTGAACACATTCTGCAGCGAAGCTGAAGCCAAAACCAAACCAACGCAGTGCCCAAAACTGCAATTCCTTTAATGACCACTGGAGGCTTGCTCCAAAAGTGAGTCAATCTCCATAAAACTCCCATGTTAAAATGACCAGCTTAAAGCAAAAATAAACATAGTTTTGGTCTTTTTAGCCACTTTCCTACTTTATAACAATTTTGTTTGTGTAACTCCCCCATTTAAACATTATTAAAGTTAAACATATAATTATTATCAGGTCCGTGGCCTCTTTTACTGACAGATATCTGGCAGGCTTCATCTGCGGAAACTGGAGACATTGATTGGTGTCTGGTTAATTGCATACAGACTATCTGTGCTCCAGTTTTCACAACTAGTTAAATTCTAGTACTTCATCTGTATGTTACTTAGCAGACACAGATAACTGCTAATTAAAGCAAATGTTAGCTAAAAAATTAGCACTCCACCCTCTCATCCAAATATGGTCACTTCTGGTCCAAAAAATAAAAAACAAAACAAAAAAACCCTTAAAAGAACAAAACAAAATGAAAAACAAAAAACAAGCAAAAGAACAAGATGGCTTTATAATGGGACTTCAAAAACCAATGAGTGACATCATAGATGCTACATCCATCTTTTAATACAGTCTATGTGCACTGCTATATATATTTTTTTGTTTTCAAAAAGAATCAGATGTTAATACTGATTACACTACAGCCTCACTCCTACTGCTCTAAATACTTCAAATACCTTATAAAAAGGAGGTTGGCTTCCCTTTGTGGGCCTGATTTGACTGACTTGATTGACAAGCTGGAGAAAAAGATGAAAGTACAAATTCTTTTCTATGACATGCTCTGATGTTTTTTTCCTGTGTGTGTCCCACCTACCTTCTTTAAGTGTTTTGTTATACCCTGACATGACAATGAGAGATTCATCACATGGTGCGGTGTGACTCTACCACGGAAAAAGCTGAAAATTAAAAAAAGAAAGCAGAGAGATACTGAATAGAGTGAGAATTTAACCTTACTGCAGTAAAGGAACTGCAGCTTGTGCCTTTAAATGAATTTCATGGCATTCCTTCATTATGTTAGTTACAGATAATCTGACAACATACAGGACGCTGTCATTGGCTTGTGGACTTCTGAGTGTAAAGTTTACAAAAAAGCTGCAGTGCAAACAAGACGTACAGATGTGAAAAGTGTGAGCGATTACCTCTTTTTTTTTTCCTTTTTTTACATAAAGCGCAAAATGTATAGAAATTCACTTCAACGCCAACTTGCAACACCAACAAATAATGCATTGCGTGTACAAAAATCCCAAAACATAAAAAAAGACCTCTTTGCAATTAGCTTGTCTGCATCTAAATATAAATATATATCAATGCCTAATTGCAGTATGTTTTGTATTAATACATTTACATTAGTTTTCTCTTTCCTTTGGCACTGTTAATGCCAGAACGATGTTGGTCAGAGTGAAGGTGAGGCCTGACCCATGTGGCACAGTCATGTTTTAAATCAGGTGGATCAGGCTGAGAAGTTTCCTTGAGAAGAGCTGAGCACATCGGGATAGACACGTCCTTCCCAGAGAATGTTGGTATGAATCTGGATCCTTCTTCACTCTTTCAGAAGCCTACAAATCATTCTGGGACGTGTCGACTCCTTGACTTTCTGTGGTTGAGAAGTCTCTTTTCTGGGGAACACCTGATGGTCGAGGTTATTGTTTAGTTCCCTTCAGCTTCTTTTTTCCCCAAATCTGCCTGGAGACGCTTCATAGTCCTTTTACCAATCCTTTGTCTTTGCCTCGTGACTATATACAGTGTGACTGTCCAATCCCAATGTCCCGTGTGCTTTAAAGCCCAGTAGTTAAATGACAGAGCTTTTTCAGCACCGGAGAGCTTGCAGAGGATGTGTGAATGGGGGAGAAAAGTGAAAAAGACTGGGGTGATAGACAGTGAGAGCCTTGAGCACAGTGTTAAAGGATATGGTCAAATGACATGGGCTAATGTGTCACAGTGGTGTGTCCACTTGTCCATCCTGGTAACATCCAGAACAGACGGAGTGGAAATAGCTTTACAAGACCAATCAGAGGAGAGCGCTGCATCCTTCAACACGGCTCGGCCGTTCTTGCAAGTCCAATCCAGCTGTTATTTACATCCTCTCCAATGTCAGCGGTCACTGTCCCACAACCTGGACTAAAGGTGTTAAAAGCTCAACGCAATGGCAGATTTAAGGTGGGGTTTTTTTATTCCTGTTCCCCGACCTAGTAGTTAACCTTGGTGACGGTTCTTTCCCGGCCGCCACCCTCCGCCAGCTGATTGACAGAGCGTTTGCGATTTCGCTTGAACTTGTTCAGGTCTTTGTCGAAGACCTCGCCGGAGCGCAAAGCTGAAACCAGGTCGTCAAACTCCCCGCCGACTTCTTCCGTGGTGCCGCTCTTTTTGGCCCGTCGTTCCCGCTCCCGTTGATCCTTAAGCTGGTTAGGAATAGAATACAGAGTTATTGGAAAAAAAAATATTAACTGTCATCACTGCCTCAGGTGTATTCTCTGCTTCTGTGTCTCACCATCGCCTCCATCCGGGCCCTCCGCTCCTCCTCATCCTTGCGTCGCTGCATGTTCTCGAGGTCCTGTCGTGCTTCGGTGAACGACTGCAAGAAGGTGTCGAAGATCCCGAAAAACTCATCCGGCTGCATTCTCCCTTCTTCCTCCCCAAAGTGCTTCAGAGATTTGGCAAACTGCACAAAGCACATATACCGTCATTAATAAACAATTTTAAACACATTGAAACCAAATGCGTCATTATACAGGCTGGACATGAGCATATGAGCCTGCTCTTCAAATTCATCTACTGCCATTCATGCTGGAAATTAACACACACACACACATACACGAGTAAGAAATGACTGCATGATTTGACCACCGTATGTCCACCCAGTTCTGTTCAAGCTGTTCGGTGCTCTGCGCCAGGACAAAGCCTGCGGCCAAACACGCTCTACATTCCCACACTGAGCTTTGTGCTGCAGTACTACAGACCACTACACGCACACACATACACACAGGCCCAGTCACAGTCCTAAAACACAACAAGATACAATCTGCACTGCGCAGAGGCCATGGTTTGAGGCAGATACTAGCAACACATCTGACCAGTTTTGCAAAATAATGTGCGATAGGTTATTTGTGGAAAAATTTGGATTTCATAAAGCGTAACTGTCACACATGTATTTGGTTTAAGACGATAAACAGGCCACACTGAAAGAGTGAAAGTGAGAGTCAGTATTCTTTAAAAGGGTAGCAGCTGTTCATTCTATCATCTGAAAGAAAGAAAAAAACCCCAAACATTTGGGCACTTTTATAAATTTTGCAAAAATAAAGTTTCAAAATACACTCAGGGTAAGGCTACATTCAAGCACAATCTGCAAAGCGCATTTGAAGCTGGGTTTTTTTGGCCATTTGGTTGGAACAGAACAAGCTGGGTAGTTATTCTTTATTTATCTCCATTGGGAAAATGTAAAACATCCCAAGTGTTAGGAGAAGCAAGTCCTCAAAAGCCACCTGGGGGCTTTTGAGGGTTCATTCTCCTGTGCCCAGGTCAAGGGCACGGGGGAATGAACCCAATGCATTTTTAACATCGGAGAAAAACATGATCTCCTGGAAAAACTCCAAACCCAAACCATGAGTATTTATCCATACTTTGACTTCCTAGATATCGCTAAAGGCACCATGGAAATCTCAGCTGAAGAAAATGCATGTGATTTCTCAAAATCCAGTTCAGCTTAGTTATTAGTGTACTCTCTCATTCGTTAATTAAATTTCAGTTGAACTTTATTTTATTTATACAGCACCAAACCATCTCATGGTGCTTTTTATTGTAAGTACTTGAATGGTGGGAAATGCGGGGAAAAAGAGAAGAGAAAACAAAAACAACAAAGAATGAAATCAAACTATGGAAGCAGGCAAATGTTGAAAATATATGCCATGCTGAAGACAAAGAGAATGAAAAGAGGAGAGTGTGCATCAAGAGGAGCATCCAATAGTCTGAGCCTATAGCAGCATAACTTAAGGATGGTTCAGGGTCATCTGATCCAGCTTCTAATAAAAGTTTCATCACTAAATTAAAGTTTCATCCTCATCACTGCTTTCATATTCATTTTTGTTTCACTCCTTCCTATTCTCACAGAGTCACATTTAAAGTCAAAATTCCCCAGCTTTTACGGTAAATAAAATATATCTCATCTCAGATCACTAACAAAGAATCTTCATATATTTACTCTTTTGGTTGATTTATTTCAATACAATAAACAATAAATGGTACATGTTAAACCCTTTAGGTAAAAACAGCCTCTGTTGTTCTCTTCTGCACTGTGCTATTATCCTCTGTCTCATCTTCAGGGAGAGTTCAGTGACAGTAAACATGACTCTAGTTTATATGAGGTTAGCATCATACTGTAAATGGTCCTCGTGTTGTGATAAAACCATCCTGTCATTATGGTACTAGTCTCCATGGCAACCCCACCGTCATCACTCTCTCTCTCCTAGTAATTATGTGTCTGGTCAAATCTGTTTCCTCTCGTCCCCTTGGGTCTGAGCTAAATGAGTAAACACACACACGCGCGCGCATGCACACACACACACGTACTCCTGCACACACAATAAAATGAAGAATGTGAAGTTACAACACTGTGCAGCTCATTTCACACAACCACTAAAATAAACACAGGCAAGCTCTGTGAGAGAGCCAATTATCTCTTTGCATTCTCTGATTATTTATTGTGCCTTATTTTTATTAATAATAGATTTTAAATTACGACTTTAAAAAAATAAATAATAAAACTGTTTATTGTTCAAAAATACTCTATGAAAACCTATATGACTGATCTGTTTACACATTAGATAAATCATATTTTATCCAACATGAAAACCCTGTACGAGATGATCGGTCCTCCTTTGATGATCAGTGAGCAGCGGTGTGCTTTCATGCTTAGAAAAAGCACCGTAGATGTAATTTTTGCTTTGGAAGATGAGATGTTGATGGAGAAGAACAGAAACAGTTGCTTTGTGTCTTTGTGGATCTAGAGCTAGGGTACCAGGGGAGAAATCATTGTGCTCTATGAGAAAGTTAGGTGAGACTGGGGTATGACATGTATAAGGACAAGTGTATGCTAGGAGTGACAGATGGGTTCAAAGTGGGAATGTGATTACATTGGGGATCTAAGCTCCTTCTTGTTTGCAACAGTGATGGACAGGTTGACAGATGATGTCGGGCAGAAGTCTCTGTAGACTCTGATGTTTGCAGATGACATTATGATCTCTAGTGAGAGTAGGGAGGAGAGTCTGGAGACCAGATTGGACAACATTAGAAATGAGCACATCAGAGAGATACCCTACCCTAAAGGTAGCAGCTGAAAGAAGCAGATGATACAGCTTCACAAAAAGTGATAAATGCTGTCAGTACTCAGCTTTTAGAGGCAATTTATGCACCTTAAAATTAATTAATTAATTACAAAAATAGTCAAAGGAAATCCTAGGGTAAGTACAGTTGCTGAATGGAGGCATTTATTACAGCATGACACACTAAAAGGCCCCAACTGACAGAGAGGAGGATGCACATGCACAGTCAGCCTCACCAAGTCATTTGTCTGGAGGCATTGGCTAATACGAACATAATGCCAAGCAAGCTAAAGAGGCACTTAGAAAGTAAACATTACTTCTGAGAAAAACTCTGGCTACTCAAAAGAGTGCTGGCTCTGACTCAAGCATCCTCCAATGCTTAAACATCAGATACTCCAAAATCCAAGTACTGATCAGCCACAACAACCTGCTGGCCTAAGATCATGTAGGCACCAAAACAGCTCAATGAAACCTAAAGGTTCCCAGTTTAAACTTGTAGCAAGACGATCAGTGTTACATCTTCTGGTGTATTTCCAGATGAGTAAAGGTTCTAGACAACTTTCATTCATTTTGGTATATATGCTTACAATCTGAGCAATGCTTCTGATTTTGAGTCTACCATATCTGCAACCAGTCAGACTCAAAATAATTTAGCAATTGCTTACTTCTTAAAATAGTCAGAGGCTCTAACAGAACTGCAAAGAGCAAAATATGTCTACTAGCTGGTAAGTTAAGCTTAAGCAGACCCTTTAACTTTAACAATAACAACGACAACAACAATAACGGTGGTTAACGCTGTTGCCTCACAGCATGAAGGTCCTGAGTTCAATTCCATCATCAGGTCGGGGTCTTTCTGTGTGGAGTTTGTATGTTCTCCCCGTGCCTGGGTTCTCTCTGGGTACTCCGGCTTCCTCCCACAGTCTAAAGACATGCAGTTAGTGGGGATATGTTAATTTGAAACTCTGAATTGCCTGTGGGTGTGAATGTGAGCGCGAATAATTTGTCTGTGTCTATGTGTTAGCCCTGCGACAGACTGGCGACCTGTCCAGGGTGTACCCCTGCCTCTCGCCCTAAGACAGGTGGGATAGGTTACAGCCCCCCCGCGACCCTGAAAAGGATACGCGATAGAGGATTGATGGATGGATAATAATAATAATAATAATGACAACAACAACAACAACAACAGGCAAATGTGAAAAATGCTGTGATGGATTAATTTGATCATGTCTCTACAGGGTGGTCATTATGTGGATCTTTAAAGACTTAATAGACAGAGTTAATAAGTACCTGTAAGATGGCAAAACAGGCACTGTATTAAAACTACAGTTCAGAAAGCGTTGGAGAAGGTTTAGCAGCAGTATAAAGAAAAAACGTCATTTAAAACAAATGGACCCAGACATCCAGGGACTCTGGTTTGGTTGTATGAACAATGAAAGTGACTTGAAAAGCTCTGTTATGAAGGCAGATTGATGACCAGGAACAGTCTGCAATGTTCTTTTTGGTGGCCAAATTCACATTAGTTCTTGAACTTTTTCAACAGGCCACCTTTACCACTATTGCTCATAATTCTTTTAATCTTTTGATTTTTCATTCACTTGGCTTTCTCTCTGACTTTTTTTTGACAAAACATGAAGCTTTGATTCTTAACTTATGGGTCTGAAAATGTAAGCCAGTGCTGAGTTTTTTAAACAAGCATTCTTTCTAACAGCCAGCAGGGGGTGTCTCGTCTGGTTGTAAAAATATGATCGTGTAGAAGCCTTTAGGAAAATGTACCTTGTTCTGTAAGATCATTTAACAGTTAAAAAGGTCTCCACTGCTAGTTTCAAGTCTTACTAAACACAACATGATGTTTCTTTTGTAAATTAATGACCATATTAGAGTTAGAAAGAAGGGTGAAACGGGGTAAATATGCTTATCTTTATATAAAATCTTTGACTGTTAATATAAACCAATCCTGGCTTTTTTGAAATAATTCCATTCCCTCCTCTTGAAACGTCTCTCTCTATAACTCACAAGAACAACCGTAATCCTTTCGAGTGATTTTTCCACTGTGTGTATCTCCATCGCTGACATGCATGCAGACATGCTTGTTGCCATGGATGCTGTGTGAGCCTCAGCAGGCTGCCTGCTCCATTTAGTCGTTTTCTACCTTGTTGAGGATGAAGCGTACGCCCACGCTTCCATCTTTTTATTCCTCTGGAAACTTAACAGGGCGTCAGAGGGCCTCGACAAGCACTGAATCAGTGTGTCAGACTCCCCACTTAACAACCACACAGGCACAGTCTGGGCTGGTGAACACAGGTCTTTTTGTTTTACAGCGGTGCCCAAATCCTCCCCTTCTCTTCCAGTGACATTCCAACTAGAACATTTTCCCTCCATTTTTTTTTTTTTTTACTGACCTCCTCCTTCAACAAATAATTAAGCAAAGACGAGGCTCAACCTGAAACACACGTCCTCCTTTCAATTGGTTCATGGCATAGACTGTATGTAAAATATGCAAATGGACAATGTGATGCCACTTGTTGGCTTTTTGAAGACAATTTTGATGATAAAATGTGCTAATACTAAGATTCATAAGGTTTCAGTGTGCCAGAATCGACATGCTAAATGTGCAGCAGATCTCCCAAGGCCTGGAAATTAAATAATGCGTTCACATAAATCTTTTCAACACTTTGGGATTCTCAAAGTCCCACTGATATCTTCAACTTACATACCTCCTGCTATACATCAATACATGAGACAGCATGGTTCAAAGGGCATTTGTCCCAGTGGTAAAAAAGAAAAGTGTGTGGATTTAAAACACTAACATTCAGAGACAGACACAAAGAGAAGACGTGGGGGGAGTACGGGGTAATCTTTCAATGCTGGGTTTCCCCGACCTGCCTAAAGTCATCCCGCTGGACAAAGAGGGATGCTCAGAAGTTTCTTTTCCCCCCCATCAGTTTCTGTAATTTTCATCTTTCCTGCTATTCTGTCTTTCTGACATGAAAGCTTGGCAAGTTGCCTCGCCACCCACACGCTCATATGAACTTACACTTACAGTACGACCCAAATATGAGCGGTTAAATATTTGGTTACCTTGTCCTTGGCTTCACTCAGCTGGTCCTCCAGTTCAGAGAAGCTGAAGCCAGCCACCGTGATGAAGTCACCAATCACGGCCACAAACTTATCCCCTCGTTCCCTCGTCCTGCTCTGCTGGTAGTGCAGCTCCTGATGCGGGTAAAACGAGACGAGAGGCGTGTGATTGGTCGGTCTCTGAGGCTGAAGCATGCTTCATTACAATTAGTTTCACTTGAGCTTTCTTGGAACTCGGATGAGCGTATTTGTGCTGTAGCGCTCGTGTTCGCGTGTGGCAGAAAACATGACATGTCGCTTTCTGTGTCGCAGAGCGTGGAACATTACCAGCATTTAAACACCTCGCCCTGCTGCCCATCTCCGCACTACTCGAAAACATAATTACAGACAGGAGAAGAACCGATGGGAGGGAGCGTGACACAAACGCACAACAACTTACCGCCTCCAGTGCCTTCAGTCCACTTCTGATACTATGCACTTCTTTTTCCAACTCTGACAAACTGCAGAAGAAGGAAAGACAAATATGAAGACAACATTTGTTAGCTGTTTATTTATGTGTGTCACAACTCACATTGTCTGTTGCTTTTTATCAAGAATTTCCTCAACATATTAAAAATCATAAACAATTTTACTCAAGTAACAGCTGACACGGTCCTACTGTAACCACATGCAGTCAGAGGGAGAAATGCTCTTTTCCCTCAAGTGAAATATTGCACACTTACTTGACTTTGGCAGCTTCTTGTACGCTGCCGAGGTCCTGCTGGATGTGAAGCGTGTCCGGGTAGTTCTTCTCAAAGATCATGATCAAGTAGTGCAACATGGTTATGTTCCTATCGAATAATAAATAAAAAGAAAAATAGAATCAAGCAAAACAGAATTAACCAAAGTAATTTATGGAAGGATAAGGAATAGCCTCCTTTATTTTTGCTCACTTTATTTAAAACACAGGTCTTTGCTATTATTTCCATACTAACTATAAGATACATCAACATATACAGAAATTGCACTGGCACAAGAGTTGCAGTACATGATATTTACTGATAGATGTGCTCAGTGAGTGCACCCGCTGAGCATGGCACAGTTCTGTGCATGCAACTGATGCAAGCAGTAGCTCTCTTGAGTTAGGATTTAGTATAACTTTGCACAATCAACATCAGTATCTGAGAGGTTTTTTTTACCATTTAAAGATAAGCAATTGCAACATGAACATGAGACAGAGCTGAGATACTTAATCCTAAGGCAAAGGTGTAAAGTAAACTAATAAAAGGAAACAAATGTACTTGTTTCAGTTGTATTAGGGCTTAAGGTTTGAATTATTAGGGCCGTGGGCTCTTTGACTGACAGGTAGATGGAAACACAGCCAGCTGTGGTTGCTAGCTGCCTGCTAGGATTCAGCTCAGCCTGTTAGATCATTGAACTAGATCTCGGGAGCATGTTTGTGCTGCTGGTGTTCTTTAGATAATTTTTAATGCACCTACAACTTTTAATGCTTGCTGTGCGGGTAACTGTACTGACAGACCATCCAAGAAGTCTGTTGTCAGCTTTTAGAAAGTGAAATATTCTTGGATTTTATTCAGCATTTCTATCCGTTTTATGCACCCATAAGTCCTATAAATGCAACTTGCTAACCGAGATTGCTAAAACTGTCAACTAACCTATCCAAATAAACTAAAGCACTTATCCAAATGTAGTCACTCCAATAAACAAGCAGGCCCGCAGCACAAGTCAACACTTGTAACAAAGTGGATTAACTGAAGACAGCCCACCTGTCTATGCTGGACTTGGTGTCAGCGATCTTGTTGAGGCTGGAGATCTTAAACCCGAAGGCGTTGCCTCTCTGGCCTTTGTTCATGAAGTTGCCGAAGGCCAGCACCACCTCCAGGACCTGAGTCAAACGTTTGCTCCGGACCACCTCCTTGGACGCGTTCAGGATGGCTGTAGGAAAATGAAGAGGGAGAAAGAGAGAGAGAGAGAGGGTTGCAGCTGGAGACATCATTTAGCTGGTGACTGATATGTGTGCACTCTCAGCTTTTCATATTACATAACACTCTGGGCTTTCACCATCTCCTTCCATTCTGTTACTCTACTCAAACCCACAGACACGCATACAACCTAAAAATCACCATCCTTTCCTTCATTTCTAACATCCTTCATGATGAGTGATCAATATTTCCCAAAAAAACTGGGCAGCTCGGTGGGGAAACCCATCGAGTCCTTCCATCCATCCATAAAACAGCAGAGGGAGGGAATATTCCAAACATAACTCTGTAGTGTCAGCCTCTTTCCTCCAGAGAGCTGCAAGGTCTGGCAAAGTGCAGGTGGTTCCCTGTCTCCACAGAGGAAACCTCAGTGTGAATGTGAAAATCATTAACAAGTTTCATCTTGTTATTGTTGCAGTTCTTTGTGCTGTGATGCAGCATGGGAATCAGTCTTCTGGCTCTGCTGTCAGGGTTCTGAAAGGCTTCTATTGAACCTGCTGGGTGGTCCAGGGAAATATAGACTCATGCAGAGTATATGACAAAGCAACATGAATAATAAAAGGGGATGAACACTTTATTACGGTCATCCACAAACTGTGGTTTGCAAATATTTTGGGATTCTGGAGGTCTGAGTGGATCCACCAACTCACAGGATGCCTGTACTTTATTTCCAGTCCATCGAGGGATCAGAAGCAGAGGCGCCGAATTCATTTTAGAAGAGGGGATCCAAAAAAAGCAAACAAATAAAGTCTGTATCCAGAGAGATCTGGACCGGAAGTGAAGCTGCTGTTTATGACTAAAAAGCATGTTTTACTACACCGGTGACATTTTTAGAATGTGACCAAAGTGAATAAATACTGTGGACATGACATGCAAAATGTCACTTAAGTAACAGTAACAGTGTTACACACGCGCTGTATGTGTGGTTAATAAAAGCATTTTGCCCGTATTCATTATGTGTGTTAATGCTACATAAAACACAATCTCTGCAAGCTGTGCAAGACATTAAAGACAGTTGACAATTGATTTTCACCACTAGGAGGATGAGGATTTTTTGTGCTTTTTGGCTCCTACTTCAATCACTGGTGATTAGCTGTAACATTTTACTTGTTCCCAGACAATCTGACAAATGTCTCACAGCACACACAAGCTGAACTACCAGTCAGCAAATAAAACGTTGCTCTCATAAGTGATGTGATGCTCATCAAAGGCCAGAAAAAACATTCCGGATTAGCAGAGCAGTGTCTTTAAAGTAGATCTGGCTCAAAGAGACTCAGTCACAACACACCCTGTGCATGCACGTGCATGCACACATGGCTATGAACCTCACTGGAAGCCTTTTCCCTCACTCTTTGAAGTTAGCTGCAGCATTTACAAGAGACGCTCTCCCCTCTTAACATAGGCCAGCTTTCCAAAACAGCCTCCCTGGTAACCTGAAAGCTGGCTTGATGGGGGAAAAAAACCCATACATAGTTGACCGTCCTCTCGCATCATGCACACGCACACACAAATTTAACTCAAAGGTAGGATTGTGAAAAAGCTTTGGTCTTGGTGTTCGCGGCTGATGACATTTCTAGTGTGGGAAACGTTGTTTTGTTTCTGGGTGTGTAACTGTGTGCCCTAAAAAGAAAATAAGTGCTCGAAAATGTAATCTTCTTTTCCATTTTTCTGTCAAACTGCGTCAAAAGACTGTTTGACGACAGTTCTGATGCATGAATCGAATCTAAGGTCAACTAATATTTCTGGCTTTCTAAGGAAAAGCTGCCATTATGCAATATTTTATGACTGTCTCCACCCCATCTGAAGCAATCAGCTGCAAGCTCCATTCTTGCTCAACATAATCTGTAAAAATAGGTCACAAATACACAACTCCATTTTATGGCAACTGTGTGTGTTTTTGTTTTTCCTCTCATTACTCAGCAGCAGCACTGAGGGGCACTGGCATTACAGTTCTGTTTTAAAAGCCAAATAATCTAGTTAATTTTTCACTGTTTGCTTTTCACTGTTCATATAATTAAACATTTTTTTTAACCATATTTCTCTTTTCCTTTAGCTGCCACAAAATTTAAATCCCTGCTGGATTTGGTTTCCTCACATCAGCGCACATGTGCAGCTATGGTGCAGAGAGAAGTAGCAAGAAAAGCCTTGATGAAAACATGAAGCAAAATTTTCATGCACATAGAAAGCCAATGCAATGACCGGGCATTGGCACAAGTTTGAGCAGGGCAACACAAATGGAGGTGAATTCCCGTTTGCACGAGTGAAACTGTCACTGATGTGTTTTATACAAAAATGGGGATCCAAGAAACAAAGTTCATGTTTACATAACCTTACAGTGGCCTGTAAGGTTATGTTTGTTCTTACCTTCAACCTTGGGCTTTGTTTCAGCAAGACGCTCTGCAAACTTCTTCTTAAAGAACAGAGCCTGCAGTCTCTGCTGGTAATGGTCAATTCTGTTGAGGAGAAAAGAGTGACAGAGGGGGGAAATGGGGGGAGGTGAGTTACATCTGTCTCCAGGGGAGTCCAAGTTCAAAGCTAGAAGAGACTCAACTGTGCAAAACTCCCTCTCTCAGTTTTCACTGCATTATCATCCAATAAGCGCCTATCAAAATGGAGAGTTGACAAATGGATTTGTTAAACTTGCTCAAAAGTTCACCAAAGGAGGGGGTGGGGGGGATTTCAAAGAGGGACTCAGGATATTAAATTGCAAAAAAAAGGAACTAACTAATTCCCAGATGTGTTCCTCAGACCAGCGGATATGTGGTCAAAAGGGTAGTAGCAGAGGAAACAAAGCAGAAAGGTGATATTTCATTAAAAGGAAACAAATAGATTTGTCTGTCAGGAAAAAACGAGTTCTGAGAACTAGAACAGCATCCAGGAAAAAGGCATTGATTTAGGCATTGGTGTTACTACAGTTGTCAAAACAAGACTAGTTTCTTCAGCTAAAAAAAAGAATCACACCCAAGCTTGAGGCTTGTTTGGGATTCCACCCTTGTCTCCGTGCATTGAAAGCTATCAATTTAGCACCCATTCCCTGACTGGATGATCTTTTCTTTTTGCATTAAATCTGTTGCAGCTTCTTAGAAATTAAGTTCCTTTAAAATTAGTAAATTAAAACTGCAGTGAAACATATGAATTATGCGCCTAACCTAGCATGGATGTTGTTACCTGAAGCTGAGTATCACACTATGTTTACCTGCTCATCTCAAAGAGGAAGCGATCAGCTCGGGCCATTCTCTCCAGCTCATGTTTGTGCTCCTCCAACAGGTCGATATCACTTTTCTCTGGGACAAACTTCAAAAGCTAGAAAGACAACAAGAATCCAAAAGTTCACGCAGAAGACTGTTGGCAGCATTTTAAACGACAGAATCGGGTCTGTTTTAATGCCGTGGAGCAACAATATTTAACAACAGATTGTAGCTTTGTGCCTTGTGTACAAAGATTTCACAGGCTGCTCTTAATCTAATCATGAAATTAGCAACTGCAGATAATCTGCAAATTCTTCTTTATTTTACATTTAGACACATTATTGTTAAACTCCATGCAGTGAACAACGTCTCATTTTTTTACTTCTACTCTTTGCGAAATGTTTCACCTTGTTATTTTACTTTACAATAATGCACCAATCCCAACTAAATATATTATTAAGATTTACTAACTATTGCATTCTGCTTTTATTCACTTTTTTTTTTTTTTTTTTACATTGCCTCAGACTTTGAAGCTTGATTATCATCAATAATTACATTTTCTTCCCATAATAAAGCAAGTATAGGGACATTGTTTTGACCCAACCAGTCGCAAAAAACCTGAAAAGCTTATTTTCACTGGACCATACCTGCTCCAGCATATCTTTAGCAAGCTCTTCTCTCTCATCCATCTCCAGGATTGCCCTCTTGATTTCTTCATTGCTCATTTTTAATCTAAAGGGTAAAAAAAACAACAACTTTATTACAGTAAAAGAACTACTAGTGGACTAGCTCATTGCTCATAATACCAGCCTGGACCAGTGACAAACCCCGGGAACACTGCCAGCTGTTTTCAGTGCATCTGATCACTGAGCCGGGTTGCAATCAATAACAGCATTGTTAGTCTGTGCAGCAAACCCCTTATTGACCAACTGCTGACCCCATTTGGGTCTAGTCTGTAGCCCAGGGTCATTTGCTATTGACTCGAAAAGGAGTTCAGGGACCACGCTGATGTTTTGTCAGACACACAAAGAGCTCAGAAAGCATATGTATTGATCTGTAGAGGGGGGTAGAGCTTAAATTCTCAAAAGGGCTTCGGACCAGCGCTATTAGGAGACAGACAAACAGGAGCCATATTGCCAAGTGGATCTTAAATGATGACAATTGATTCGGGTACAGATGCAGAGGGATTCAAAAGCCCTTGGGTGGGGGACTAGGGTTGAATAAATGCGAGTTAATATAATGTAAGCGACTCAATGTAGAGTCTGCTTGTAGCTGAATGTGTAATAATAGACCGGATTTTCACAGTAGAAATCAGAACATTACTTTCCAAGATGTTGCTTTAGCTATATAATGCTTTCAGATAAAGATGTATGGATTGAGTTACACTCACAGATAGCCTAGGTGTCCATTAAAAACACATTTCTGGCTCTAGATGCATGAGGCCATCATTCCAAGCAGCTCCCACACAGAGTTAGTGCTCTAACCCCTGACCTAATGTTACTTATTTATCAGTGGTCTGCACTGAGGCCATTTCTTCAGCACTATAAAACTAATTAGCAGATAATTACTGTGGCTGAGTGAGCTCGAACCACTGCAAATACAACAAAGCAAAAACATAAAATAAAATAAAATAAAAACAACAAACATGCTGCAAGTAGTCCAGGAAAAAAAAAGCTGGGAAAGTCTTGGAAACAGTCATGTTGGACCTAAGCTGAAGGAATTAGCTGGAAAAGATAGGTTTCCAGAGAAGATCTGAATATGAGTAAAAAGAAAAGATTAAAAAGGCCTGAGTGAAAAGGTCCGGTTAGAGTTACACTAGGCATGAATCTAGAAATCAGGACTAAAAAGCTACTGGTTTAATGACCTAAGCGAACCAGGCTTAAGAGTGTTCCAGGTCTGAGAAATAACCTGAGGCTATATGTTTCACTTGTTTATAATATTTTAAATATTTTTTTTATAAAATTATTGCTTAATTTAATGAGGAGGTATCCAATATAACACTGTCACCATAGGCAAAAATATTCCTACATTTACTTCTCAACTATCAGGAAATAAGCCTGCACACTTCAAAATAAAACCAATAATCTCTCCAGACTGTAGTGGAGACTGGATGTAATAAAAGCATGAAAGACCTTCTCAAGCTCGTTAAAATAAAGAAAGAAATAAAAGCAGTCTCATTGAAGAAAATAATCAAATATGAAGCCAACATTCTTCATATGAGATTTGCATGCTGAGAAGAGTCCGGTGTCAGCGATACATGTATATGTGAGAGGACAAACAAACCTTTAGCTTTGAAATAACCGGATCTATAAGTCTAATTCAAGAGAAAAATAAAAAAAATAAAGCCGGACTTTTTTAGCATAACAGTTACAATTTGTTACAGCATTTACAGAAGACTGACATGTATGTCATACGTTAGTGTAATCTGTATAAGAGTAACTCAAAAGGCAGCCTTGCAAGTTGCAGCGCATCGAGATCTCACAGCAGATGCTAATCAGCTGCTTACTGATGATGCGATACACTATGATTAATCATTCAAGCCGAAGCCCCTTACTTTGAAAGCAGGATGACACAATTCTGTGCACGTCTGCCATCAATGACTGACAGCTCTTTGACCTTCCGCGTGCTGACGTATATGTCATCCATCGAGCCAGTCTCTTTCTGCAGAAAGACAGAAAAACAGATTACGTTTTGCTCGCATAAAATGCAAAGCGTGCACACTGTAACGTCTTTTCCTCGCATCTGCATGACATCTTTAGCTGGTTGAGAGACGACCCCTTCTGAGTGTTTAACAATGTGATAATTTAGAACAGATTCACGAAACTCTGCTTTAAACTACCAAAGACAGTTTGTTGCAGTTGTTTAATCATTTATCAAACTCAGACTAAAAGGCTGCACTCTGGCCAAACACTTTAGTCATTCCCCCGACCTGTTTTTGCAGTTTTCTGAGGCCATAATGCACATCTCATTAAACATTATAAACTCCTTGACTCAGGATGGGAAGGGGCATGAAAACATGTGACACAAGCTGTGGAACAAAAAAAGAAATAAACTCTACAGCAGGTCTTGGGCGAGGACATTTTTTTGGTGAGTCACCATTGCAAATCCAATGCAGGCAAACCTATAAACTTTGCAGAGCAACAGGAAACATGGCTGATAGCTTGATGTAAGCCAGTCAGATATTTCTGTAAGCTCTGCACAAATGTAGTATTAAAATGCACCAGGGGAAAGAACACATGTCTGAGAGGACTGCATGTTAAACGCATTCTATTTATGGTCCGATCTGCTTTCCTCCCTGCCAGAAAATGTTCTTCCTGAGGTCGTTGAGTATGACATTTGTAAAACAGATGTGGCTTGTAAAGAAAGTGTCGTTTTTCCATGCCCGTGCTGACCCAAGGTGCCTGGCAGCCAACTGAGGTTGGCACCGGGTTAGGGGGACAACTCCCATTCACTGAAAACTGCCAAAGCCCTCTCTGCACAAGCGGTGAAAGCTATTGTGCCAACTTAACCAAGTGTAACTGGAGACTTTATCTTTTCTAACAGCTATGAAGTAACAGTGATGGAAATGTGGCGTTTACAATTGCATATTCAGGCTTTTTCCAGCTGAGATTATAATGAATAATTAAAGAAATTAAAGATGATTATTGTAATTATGGTAATCAACACAATAACAAAAAGGCAAGATAAGGAGTAATAAGGCAGTGATGATTGGGATTAATGTGGACCCTCTACTCATTTGTATTGGCACCATTATATTATCCAGTGATGAAAATCATATCTTTAACACTGGAGAATTATTAACCTTAGTTTAAAGCAGTGGAAAATAATCTGATTTATGAAGCGTGTATGACATAAGATAGTTTGCTGGAAGTTTTCTGCACTTCTAGAGAGATGCCAGGAGAAACCTGAGACCAACTGGCTTCAAAATAAAAAAATTTAAAAAATTAAAAAAAGACCACTTTTAGTTAATTTTTCTGAGGATTTTTTCCCCCCCCCCAAATTCTCCACCGTGCTCACTGGTTAATGTTGTTGCTAAATTTGGTTTTACTCCACTCACCGAGACTCTTTTGGTGAAGAAAGCTTTGGCTGGAAATGGTGCTAACAAGGGCAGTGAGATTGAACGGAAACTGCAAAACCATGGGCCATAAAACCAAAACAATTATCTTAAAGAAACCGTAAGCCTGTTTCAGCAAAAACAAAACACAAAATCAATAGGTTTTTATACTAGGTGACCACTTTGGTGCCTAAACTGACCAAACAGAGAATGGAAAAAAAGTAATTAAGATAAGATCTCGAATGGCACACAAACTTGTGTTTCCTGGTTAAAAGTCATTTATCTGATTTGGACCAACACCACGCCCTCTGCCTCTCTTTACTGCCTTTGTAGTACTAGAGCCTAGAATTAAGCTGAAAACAAAGCCAACACAAAAAATTGCAGTTCCTCTAGTGGCCTCTAGTGGCCACTAGTGATCGCTAGCTCCCACAGTGTGTCAAACCGCAAAAACTTGCATGTTAAACCATTTAAGTTTACAGCAAACATAAACATGTGTACAGCTTGGTAAAAAAAATGGTTCATAAAAATTTTACAGTGCCTAATTTCTTTTCTTTTTTTAATAACTTCTCCACCTGGATATTGGCGGCTTTGTTAGAGAGGTATATGCCCACATAGGTAATGGATGCTTGTAGCTGTCTTGCTACACTATGTTTGTGAAATTGGTGCCTTCTGGATAATTACTAATATAAATATCTAGGAATTAATATGATTGTTGGATGTGCAATTGTATGGACCATACAGCAGTTCTGGTTGGTTTTAATGTTTCCTTAGTCTGTTAGCAAAATTAGCAGATATGTGGGTCTGTCTATTGCAAACAAGCTAGCTCGCAATTGCTGCTAACATATTAGTCCACTGTCATCTAAATATAGTAACTTCTGGCTCCAAAAAGCCAGCATGGTGGTAATGGTAATGCTAATCTTACAGCTTTACAATGTCCCCAAAGCCAAAAGGTGATCTCACTATGGCCACATCCATCTTTGATATACAGTCTGTGGTTTTTGCATATCAACTCCACACAATGCTAGAGAGATATTTGATTTGACTGATGTTTTTGTTCTAACATATTTAGGTATAATAATGTTGAGAAACGTTCAGGGCTGCAGTGCATGTGTTCTGTCGTTAAGCTATGAGAATGCTTTGGCATTAGGAAACTGCACAGGATAATTTTATGTCATAACTTTTACACTGTATGACTTATCATTAATATTCAAAATCTTGATGCTAAAGTATGCCGATCAAAGTTCATACATTCAAACCCATTCATTACACTATTCTAGCTGGCTGGCTGCTTCTTTGTTGCAGAAGAGAAAATAACAGAGAAATAAAGATGGTTGAGAAGCTAGAGGATTTAAACTCACCTGTTTGAAGGATTGGTTAGTGAGCAGGTCCTGCCCAGGCAGTCGAAGAGTGCAGAAAGACACAAAAAAAAAATTGAAAACACATGCAAAGATTAGCACATCAAGCAGAAAAAAGTTGGTGGCTAGAGCAAAGAAATATAACTACGCACACTACAAGCTGAAGCCGGGAAGCCCTCTGTGAGAAAAATCATCTACCGTCCGAGTCATCAGGGGCTCATGAATCTAAACCTCTCTGTACTGCATAAATTTGGTTTCTGTCTTCTCAAAGAGGTCATGATTGTTATAATGAATTCTTTTGATTGCATCTACATCTGCCTTGACGTGGAAAAACACAACCATGAAAAATGACTGCGGTAACTAATCCTACCGAGGGCAAATGTAAACAAAAGCCCATTTTTAAAGTAGAAGGACCAGTGACAAGCTTAAAATAAGTAATTATGCCATGAATAAACACTGCAATACTGTCCAGCTGAATCAAATCTAGCCAAATGGAATCGAGTTGTCAAAGCCAGGAAGATGTTGGGTTTTATGTGGCTACGTCCATAGAGATCTGAATTTAACCGTTGGCCTGTGCCAATAAAAACCTGCTCTGTATAAATAAATACCCACAGTAAATCACTGTCAGAAACAACCTCAAGTGACCCATTCCTCTTTAATAAAAGCCTGCAAAGAGAGGATGGGCTTAAGGCTGTCAGAAGGCTTTTAAGCGACACTGTAAAATACATTACAAAGGAATTCAACAATTTTAATGCTTCAAAAGAGACTTTGCATTGAGCCAACTAATTAGAGCAAATTAACATTCCACTTAAACATATTTAAATCTGTGTAATATATCAGTTGGTGTAATTCCACCCAGTATTACCACATGACAAGTGGTGTGCAATTAGTTTGTGGCACAGAGGGGTGTAATTGCGCCGCACTGTATGGTGTTGCCACCAAGACAATTATCCTATTAGTTAGTGCCATGATTTAGTGAATGCCCTCTTTATTTTAGCTTTGGTAAAAAGTTTCCTGTATCGTGACTCCTCGTGACTTCAGCGGTTTCCTACATGTCGCCCTGATTCATGAGCCCATGAAGAACCAGTCAAGGTCTCACACAAATGCTCTGCAGACACTAGTGCAAAGCAGCAGCTCTGTGGCATCTCTACAATAAGGCATTCAGCAGTGAACAGCTGCTCATGTTAGCCCGGAGCTGGACCTTGGCGCTCTCAAGAGTTCCTTTTTACACAACCCACCCTTTAGCCTGTCACACACACTTTCAGTAATACACACAGTTCAAGAATCTAGGCCAATATGGTACTCCACACACACAAAACAATTGCTTATACGCACACACTCTCACACTCACTTCCAAGTCATAAAACTACAAGCCACTTCCAAACAAATCCAAACCTGTTGTCTCTGATATGCTGAAAACATCTTCTCTATGTCTTTCAGGTCGAGGATCTTGAAAGCTCTCAGATCATCAATGTCGCTCCAGATGGTGCCATTGACCATGTTCTAAAAACAGGGTGGAGTGACATAAGAGGTTCATGCATATACACTGATTCATTCACAACTGCTCATTTTAAAACTGTTACAGTTCAAAATATGAGGTCAGCATATGTACAAACAAAATTTTCAGGCTTCAGACTGCTCTAAACACTCCACTTCAGGATGTTTTTTCATCCTCTCCTCTGTGGGATGTCACAGAGTGGGGACATCCTTACATGGTTGCTGAGGCAGACAGCTTAGACTGTGAGCACAGAAGCTGAGTGAAGTGGTAGATGGGACCTAGAATATGATGAACTGAAGGTGAACTGAAATGAAGATGCAGTGTTACATAAAAAAGGAGAAAAGAAAACCTCTGAGGCTGAAAAAGCAAATGTAGAAGTTCCAAAAAATACATTTCCACAAAGCAGATATGCAAGTTACCAGAACGCCAAAGTTGAGCCTTCAAAATGAGACTCCATCTTTCCATCTTTTATATACAGTCTATGCCCAGAAGAGTCCAAAAATGATAATGTAGACAGCGAAAGCAGAATACGTCCACTTTAAGTGCTGATTTGAGTTTTATTATAATTCATATCCACTTCATATTTATTTTTGCTATTTCAGAGTAGTAGAAGTAATACTAGAAGTACTAAAGAGGAAAATTTTCTTATTTTGACAACAATATACAAACATATATATGTCAGAAAATTAATGGCCGGGCATGTTCACCTTTTATACACAAACGATAGTTCAACCCTTTTATGTAATTTTGGGAAAACCATGGCTTGAATGACCCCCACCCTTTAGTTTAACAATGCAGTTTTCCATGTTCACTCACCTCTCCTAGTTTGGCCCAGTTGAAGGACTTCAAAGGATGTGAAGGCTGAGGGATGGACTTGGAGTGCATGCTGCTCATCGAGTTAAACGATGAGGGAATGGGAGGAGGCGGAGCTCCAAAATTAGGTGGGGCTCCTGGTGGAGGAGGTGGTGCCCCAGGTGGAGGAGGTGGAGGTGGGGGAGGCGGGCAACTGAATGGTAGAGGAGGTGGGGGTGGAGGAAAGCCGCATGTCATAGGTAGTGGAGGCGGAGGCATAGGGCCGCCAGGAGGAGGAGGGGGAGGTGGGAAGGATACATTTCCGCCCTGCTGGAGGTCAAATGAAAGATCAGTTACTAAATAAACCGTAAAAAAGGGATTACAAATTACTTTAAATTGATGAATAAATTAAACATTAAACATTAGCAGCTCACAGCAATGTCACTGATGCGCGACGACAGGTCTAGCACTTGTTCCCGGGCCGAGCGCAGCTCCACACCTTCACGCTGTAGTTTATCCTTCATCTTGTTCAAAGTCTTCATCATGTCCTCTTTTTCCTGCGTTTTGGTCTCACACTCCCGCTCTTTCCGCTCCAGTTTAGCTAGCAGCTCTGCATGCTCTAAAATCAAACAGTGGTGGAGTAATGGGTTGGCACGGTGTTAGCAGATTTGGATAACAGTGAATACAGGCAAGAAGAAAGATAAAACCATGATGGATTCTGGTGAACTTTAGCTTTACCTTTTCTGAATTTCTCTGCTTGTTCTCGCCATTGTTTCACCTCATTTTCATTGACCAACCTGTGAGGCAGACAGACAAGAATAAGCACAGAGAAAGTGGACACTGGTCTGCAAAGAATTCTTGCATATAAGAGGAAACTTCAGTCCAAACATGTCAATACAGGACATTTGAGAAACCCATTGATCAGGGTTACTTCTGCTTTACTTCATCTTTGCGAGAGGGATTGAGATTTATTTCCTGCATTGACCGGTTTGTTGCGGTTTCCTCTTTTAAGCATCGTTATACAGCATTAGTGCTCAAATAAAACCTGTCAGTTATCTGTTATGAGTTCTAACTCCTGGTTCTTGGCTCAGATTGAGGTTATGTTTAGTTTTAAAATTAAGGTTAAGGAGGTAAGGAATGCGCATTGCCGATTATTGTACATGTAAACAAAAAACACAAATATGAGATATAAGTGTAAGTTAATAAATATATTGTATTTAGTGGGATTTTTTTTTTAATTGTAGGAGAAATAGTGGAAAGTGAAACCTTGAGCTCCACTGGTAGCTTTGGCTAGAGTTGAGAGAAAAACATGTTGCATCATCACTACTCACAGAAAAGCTGTTCTTAACAAGGAGCCTAAATACATAAAATATTAGACAATCAATGCACCAAAAATAGGATTGTAATAATAAATAATATAATTAAAAACATAATTATTTTTTAAAAAAAGAAATTTATTTTTCCATTAATTGCTGTGTTTTGATTTATTTGCGTGAATTTATCAGTTTACCCACTTAAATTTTGTTTTTTGTTTTTTTAAACTTAACTTGTTAAATAATACATTAAGAAAATAGATGTAACTATGATTATATTAAAATACAATAGTTACAATAATTAAAATATTGCTTTCATTTATTTTTCATTATTTTTTATAATCTATTCAACAATTTAAACCAAAAAACAACAGGTAAAGATTTAGATTGTAAATATAAATTGTAATTTATTCATATATTTATTTATTTGGTTTTCATAGTTTTGGAAGTTTTGGATAATTTTGGCACTTTTGGTCCTCCATAGATGACACAGAGGACAATAATACCACTGTGATGATGGTTCACACTTAAAGGCATCAATTCACACCAGGAAAGCAAACTGGGCATTAGTCAGTTTCGGGGCCTTTAAAGTGGTCGTCGTGTTTAAAAGGATCCAACTGATTAAAACAAAAAGACACAATCAGTTTTTCTTGACTGGTCAAATAAACATTTTTGCACGACTGTGGAAAAATGTGATTTGTACAAGAGCGTCAATTCTGGGGTCGGGCACACGTGTGAGTATTCAGAGCTGTCGTCATAGTGACCACAGATGATGAATGACTTTGTCTCCCGGCTGTTTTAACAGTTGTTTTAACATGCGCTCCACCATCTGAGCTAACACGGCACTAGTCATATGTTTTTACCCGTTAACCGTCAGGACCTCCTGCGTGTAGCCGATCCGGTAAGGAAATCTTAGCTTATGCACGCTTTTTCCAGGCAACATTTATTTGAAGTGAGTTTATGGAAACAAGAAGAGGCTGGCAGCAAATGTAAAGTGAGGGGAAGGTTTCAACCATTCTGATGCATCTTCAGTTGATAGCAATGGGCATCCAGGCTCAGATGCAGCATCCAAGTTTGCATTCTGATCGCTACTGGAAAGAATTCTGCTCAAGCGTGCTGATTGCACTAACAACAGTGGGTGAATACTTCACCAAGCTACATGTTTTATGGTGCTTTCACCACAAAGACTAAACACATTCATCTGTTATGGTAAGCTTGCTTTTAAAAATAACAAAAATGAGGAGAACTGAAGAGAAGAATGACAGCACCAAGTTACAGCAAAGACAGAGCTCTAAATTCAGTCTGTGTGCACTTGTCATGTACCGAGACCCTGACTTAGCAATGATCATTTGGCTGTGCAAACCTTCTCCTTCCAAGCCATAACGCTTCCCCCTTGTCTGCCTCGCTGCACCTGAACATGGCTGACTTGGCCCAACAGCCCTCCTAATGCGATTAGAACAATTTCCTTTTGATCTCTGGCTTCCACTTCCATGCCAGTTCACGCACAGAGCAAGGTTTCCTCCGATTCAGTCCAAGACCCCCTGCTGCCACCTTCACATCACCTCAGCTTCCTGTAAAATTACATTCCCTGCTCCCTTTTACCACGTGCTCCTCTGCAATAGCCTGCAAAACCCTGTGGTTTATTGTATATGTATATGCTCCTCTGTACTAAAACACCATATTCCAGTGTTTATCTCTCCCAATCTTTGATATAGAAGAAACACATGATATCAGGGCTTTGATCTCTGTTGCTAGTGATGCTGATTAAATGCATTAACTACAAGATTTTCTCAGAAAGTTGGAGTGTTTACAGTACTGGGGGATGAGGAGAAGCTTTTGAAAAAGGCATTGAGTGGTTGATTGACTTGAATCATCACTTGCAACAATCATTTCCAACCTTTTCCCAGTGGGCATGAGGTACAAGCAGCCCTGGCAGGGTATCAATCAAGATCCTGTCATATAAATACATTACTATAGTAAAAAGCTTCATTAGCGATCACGTGTCCACTGTTGATTAATGAGAGATTTCACTCACATGCGAATGATGTTCTTTACATTGAAGTTGTCCAGAGGGGAGATATCAGGGTCCTCTCCCTTGTCGTCCTGCATGACGATCTGCTGGAGGATCCGGTCTAAGAGCTGCCAGTGCTGCAGGGTGCCACCACTACGCTTATCTGTTTTTTTAGGGGGGTTTTTCATGAATAAAAAGCTCAAAAAGCTCAATATAAAAAGATGAACACTGAAGCAAAGTATAGCCTAGAAATACTTGATGTCTTTTCTCCCCAGGTACATGTGAGTACTCACAGGGCATCTGCAGACAGTGTTGCAGGATGGAGAGGAGGTGTGGGTAGGAATCAGTGTGGCTCAGCTTCTTCTTGATCAGCTCAAACATGGCACCAGCACTTTTAGTATCTACATGGGTCTGTTGAGTAAACAGAAGGAATCGGTACCACACAGCTGTTTAATTACCTACAATCTAAAAGGAACACACTAATGTCAAACCAGGGAAAACTCACCATATCAAATCTTTTGGCCAGCTCAGAGTCGTCCTCGTTTCGCACCATCTCAAAGAAATCCAAATGCCTAAACAGAGAGATAAAAAATGTTCCTTCATTTGATCCCAAACTTCTGTATTTATTTAATTACCTTTAGAATTTTATTACTTGTTAATAATAACTGCTTGTAAACATTGGGGGACAATGCATTTCTTTGTAGAGTTTCAAATGTTAAAGAGGGCTTACTCTCCTCATTTCCAGCTCCTTATTTCTATTCCTAGACTGTACTAGGGTAGCATGATTCACTATATCTGATTTGGTCTTGATTGGATCTCCCGTCTATTATCTTAATCAAGCATATAAACATATAAACCCTGTTTGAGACAACAGTACCGCAGTGATACTCCATTTTAGGAAAATTAAATGAAAAGGGTGGGATGTTTTGTTATTTTTAAAAACACATCAAAGATTTAGTTTCCATTTCTTCATCAGTGACTCACCTATCCAAAGTGGCGTTTTCGTGCTCTCTGAGCTTTTCGATGACCGGCTGTATGCCCAACATCAGGAACTCGTACCTTAGATGGAGGCGAAACTCCAGGTTGTCCTGAACATAAAGGATCAAACAATAAGAGAGGACATGAAGCTGTAATAAATCCATATGTCATATTTAATGGGACATCAGATACCTCAGAATCTTAAAAGTGTTGCATGTATCTTGGTATATATCATCTTTAAGCAGCATTTTAGCATAATTACAAAAAGAATACTTTGATTCCAAAACCCACTGCTATCTAACAGGTCCTGTCTTTTATTTGTGTTTACTCGGTACAAAATCTTTAACTAAAAAGTCAACTGTTCTTAGAGGAAAACACCATCTATGTTGTTCATGATGATCCACAAACAAAAGCCATGCCACTGCATCTATAGTCAAAGCATGGCTGCACTTTATCGTATATTTCACTCAATTTACCTTTAAGCTCAGAATGAAACAAACTTTACTATTTGTGAACCATAAAAAACAGCCTCTCCTGATGCTTTAGTGACTATTCTTACAAGTATTTAAGAAATCTCTTTCCATGAGAGTTACACTCCTTAAGTTTTGTATACAGTTATTTAGAGTGTGTTTAACAGGCATGAGGCTGTGAATGCAGACCTCTCCAGCCCCAGCGTTGAGCACGGCGTTAATGAAAGACATGATGGCGGTCTTTAAGTTGACCTCGTCTCTGTAGCGTCCTGTACTTTTGTCCAGCTCATTCAGCAGCGTCTGGAAGATCAGAGGAGACGGCAAAGTTAGTCAGCAAGTGCGTTTGATCGGAGAAAAAAAAAGAAATTAATTGGATAGTAATTTCAATCTATATTTAATTTAACAGGCAAGCAGCACAGGGCTGCTGTTCTCAGTTCTTGCCCCCTTCTTTGCCTCTTAAACTGACCTTTGGCACTCTTTAGTATCTTAATCATAATTCAAAGAAACATTAAAAGCCCTCGTAAGTTTGAATCACTCAGCTCCTGTGGTGTTAGCTTAGCCAAGGTGGCATGATTTACCGCACACCCCAGGGGATGTATGAGATGTGGTTTGCTGATTCAGTCCTGCTAGTCACTAAAGCACTACACATACTGTGACCTCCATAACTTAAGATGTCCTCACCTGCCTTTAATAACGCACGTGTGTTGACGTAACCCAAGGCCAGCCGTCTGAGGCACAATTCTCCAACTTATCAAAATGACCGCAGCTTGATTTATTTTAGCATTACCCAGAAATATTTGTCTGCCTTTACCCATAATCTATGTCTGCCTCACACTGTCAGCAAAGGCTCCTCAAGCCTGAATGTGCCACGTGACATGGCCCTGCGTTAACCTCAGATACTAACAAAAGAAGCTTCTCTTACCTGGAAGCGAGTCCTCTCAGCAGCATATTTCTGGTAATGTGCCATGGCTTGAAGCACCTTCTTGTGTCCATCTGGCACCAGGCACACCGCCCCAAGAATCTCCAGTACTGCCACTTTGGTCTTGAAGTTCTCTGTCCGGAGGCTCTGTGAGATGGTATTGATGCTCTGCGGGTGGGCCAGGACATGCGCACGGCCCTGCGAGTTGTTCATCAGCGCCTTGATGCACCCGATGACGGAGGTGTGGACGCGGCTCTCCGACGTCTCGTAGTCCATGCTGCGCAGGAAGTTGAGGAGGCAGGTGAGGCCGTCCAGCTCGATGAAACGCGTAACAAACCTAATGGAGGACAGGAGGAAAAGCGCAGGGTAAAGACTGAGCCAGTGTGCTAGTTTACAACCAACGCACAATATAAAGACAAAGGTTCATACTAAAACTGTAACCTAACCCATATTTTAACAACACAGTGAAATTCTGCTTCCATAGTTCCCGGTGATACACTGGGCCTTTCTCCTCCAGACCCCTTCCCATGCCTTCTCTCCTGCAGTTTGTGTTTTTGCCTTCTGTTTGTTAATCACAGTTTTCCTGCGCTCCACTTTTCTCTCTTCTTTTTTAAAGCAAACTCAAGTCTTGCTCACAGGGGATCATATCTTTTGTTTTTCTTCTCCCTCTAGTGTAGCCATAGAATATAAAACTCTGTTAGAGGCCAGTAGTGGTGAACTGGCACTGGACAAATATAATGAAAGTGAAAGTGTTTGTGCCTCTGTGCTCACAGATGGATGAAAAAGGTTGGGGATTCACTATGGACATATCTTTATGGACTTCACTTTAACATTTATCTCATTTGAAGGAAAAAAAATCCTCAATTTTGACACTTCTCTCCTGCTGACCATCAAGTGGCTGAACTAATTAGAGAGCAGTGAGCTATTGACCTCTGTGGATGAGAAGCAGACTGGTTGAGTGGCAGGCAGGACATGTAAACAGTGAGGGATGTCACATCCAGCGAGCACAGTGGGGGCTGGACTGTAAATGACCTTCCCACTCGCTAAGATTCCTGATAGGCCTCATAAATTACTTCAAACAAACAAGGGATTGTAAGGAGAAAAGAAAGGGGAGAGGAAGAGGAAAGAAGCATGGAGTCAAGAAGACAAAGGGACAGAGAGGAAAGAGCGAGAGTCTGACAAGAGGGTGCTGAGATTTATTACCATTCATTGTAGCAAATACATTGTTTTGACGCTTTTAGAAGTATGCAGACCATTCCCCTCCCACTGCTGTCTTGGCACAAAAGAAATGTGAAAAAATATAATGCAGAAAAATCTATTTATTATCCTTTATGACGAGGCCAGAGCTCTTCCTCTGCTCACACATGATTAATCCCAGATTTCCAGCAGATGCACTCACAGAAACTCAACCTGGCACGTCCAGTAAATCTCTTAAAGAGATATCATCCTCTGATCTTCAGCAGGCTCATACATTATGCACGCATGCATACAGTCAGCCTCTCTTGGCAATGCATTCAGAACACTCATGCAACCTTTCAGCAGACTTTCCTGTTTGAGCGAAGACGCTGCAGTCTCCACTCAGCACCACGGTGACGAAAAAGAAATCCAACGTATGAGATATGAATTGAGTCAGATGTAGCACAGACAGTGGAAGCAGTGAAGTCAGAACAAAGCCAACTGTTTTAAGTTCCACATTATATCAGTGACAAGCCTTTGGCCGGCCACGCGCCTGTCCACGAACCGAGAGCCCACCTCAGAGAAAGAGCTTTCATAGTGGAAGAGAAATTAAGCTGAACATCGCTGTGATTAATGTATGGAAAGCTGAGGGTGACAGATGTTGTTCTTGGAGTTTGGGTTCAAAAGAGTGGACGAGATTCAAGACTTCGCTCACTGCCAGCTTCACTTCGCTTCCCAGTATGCACCGACATAACCTTTGCAGCATAACCCGATGCCCGTGCGGGCGCTTAAGCAGATACATGTAAAAATATACATGCATGTCTCTTTAAAACATTCAACAGTGACTAATCCTCTGGACCGTTACTAAACCTAGTAAGCTGACATTCAACAATTCTCTCCTCCTCCTCACTTTATTTTCTCTCCAGTGAGCACTTGAATCAATGGATCCCATATCCTCTGACTTTGTAGTCCCCTCTTGTCTTCTCCTCTCCACTGACATTCACGCTCAGCCGACTGGCGCGCACGGGTTTCTGTCCTCCCCCCTTTGCTCTTGGAACAACCGCTGCATACTTCAAAACCCGCAGTGAAAGCTCAACAACTGCATACAATATGAGCACAGGCAGAGCTGCCGAACAATACTGATGCTGAGCCAAACACACACACATACACACACAAATAGGTCTTCACACAGATGAAAGAAAGAAAGAAGCAAGAAATAAAACTTGGAACAGAATGAGGCTAAACAAAAGCGACAGAGTAGCAGGAAAAAGTCAAGGTCTGCGATGGTCAAAGGTAAAGTCTCGGATTTAAATTTGAAAAAAGCCCTAAGATATTTGCTTTATCTTACATTATTAAATGAGTTTCAGTGCTGCTATCTTTAAAACAACATTGTAATTTGTATCTGTATTGATCTAAAAAGCATAAAAACCCCTCAGCCAGAGGCAGAGGACGGTGTGGAAGCTAATCCAGATGCTCAAATTTAAATTTCATTCCAACCAAACGTATTTTTCGCTGCAAGACATTCTGCCTTTTTGAACTGTGGATGACCCGTGTGTGGCAGACAGTTGGCCGACAGTTCGCTCTCGCCTCAAAGCCTAACCACACAAACTTATCAAAGGCCAACACTTCCACACACACAAACTCAAGTGATCATGTGCCTTTCTAACTCTCGTTTACCCCTCACTTAATCACACGCACACTCACCATCTCCTTCAGACACCCACTCATCTATATCCAGACGCATTTTCACACGTCATGTTCGACTATAAAAGGTCTCCAAAGACAACGAGAGCCCGGGAGGTTCTCCAGAGGTGCTGATTAAACCGTGACCAAGGTGTCTGCAGGGCTTTTAGGAGAAGTTATACGATAATCAACATTACTCGCATTTTACTCGATGTGGTAAATGAAGGGTTGAGCATAAAACTGTCACATATGTAGATAGAAGTTACAATACAAACCCTATCTGAGGTGCACACCTGTGATTTGTACATATATAGTATATCATGGTTTACTGGTTGTGCTTGCATGTGTATATGTGTGTGACTTTTTCCACACACAAACATTTCTACAAATTATACAGATCAAAGATTCCTTGTACAAAGTCAGTGTGATGTTTCTGATCTGTTCAAAGATTTTTAGTGTATGACTGAGTTCATGTGTCTCACCTCCTGCTAAATCTACCAGGGCACCACAGCAAGCCTACATGAAGCAGGAGTATTTCCAGTTGCGAAAATGTACCTGACTATCTCCTGCTTTATGCCACATGTGAGAAAAGGCAACTGTCTCCTTACACTCAATTCATATGAAGTACAAATCATGTGACCACACCACAGCAGTGTTCGAGGGCGATCAGATAAGATCACTTTTTTTCTAATTCACCCACAGAGTTGAAGCCTTTATTTCCCAACTAATGATGATGTCTCAAATGGCATCATGTGGGGTAATTTAATGGACTAGACCCAGCATTGCCCAGGGGAAAGAAAGGTTTTATACAATACTTACAAACAGGTTTCTAAAAGTAAAATTTGTTGTGTTTCTCTTTAACAGACATTAGCTTTGTATTTGTAGGTCAAAAGAGGGTAATTCAATGGAAACCTAATGGAAATTAACTATAAAGTATAAGTATTAAAGATAATTTATCTCAATTTCAGGACTGGGACCATACCTCATACACTCCTCTTCTGGTTCTCCAGTAATGTATGCTTTCCTGCACTGTAGAAGACTTGTTCTCATTTTCGTGACTCACTCGCCCTCCCTCACGCCCCTTTTTAGTACATGGGGATCGGCCCAGCCCATGAGCTGCCACCAGTCCTCACTGAGGCATTTCCCAGACCCTAGCCTCACATCCATGCTGATTCCATCTGCTATTATCTTACAAAAAATGCTGTCAAATCTAATTGAGGATGTGGTTTCTGCTTGCAAAAAAGATGATCTCAACTACTTTTTCTTTTTCATGGACATAAAATACTAAAATTTCACTTACCAAAACTAGAGTACAGACTTCTTGCATGGTTTGCTTGTACATTTAACCGGACAGCAAACCATAACTATATTAAAAATAGGCACTAAGAGCAGAAACGTGTTCAGTTCTTGTCTTTTCATTTTGGCTTTAACCCATGAGGTTGCCGTTTGGGATTAAAGTGAAAGTGAAGTATAACCCCTGTGCTCAACTCCACTTTTTCCCCACTCTCCATCTGTTCAAACCTGCCTGCATGGTCCACCCGGCCATCACTCGTTTCTTTCCATTTCCTGTTGAACTACTAAGTACCAAAGGGAGAGAAATCAGCGCTCTAAGAGAAGCAAACACTCCATCTGAGACTCTTTGAAGGTGTGAGACTCTACTCCCCCACTAATGTATTTGGTAATATGTGAAAACAGATATAAAGTTCACCCTCTGTTGAGCGGAACCTTTGAGAGATCTGTCGACAAAATGTTTTGAAGGATAATATTTGTATGTGATGGCAGCGAAACATCCAAAGAGCTGTTGACACAAGAGCAGGGTGAAAGGCTGCAGTCGACTCGAGTAAATATTCTTGCTGGAACAGATTTGCAGAAACAATGTCCACAGAGAGCCGCCTTGGGAAGCACTACAGTGCTCTGCTGACATGAGCCAGGGAGTGCAATGCATTGTGGGCCAGAATGGCCTCAGTGACCTCCACGATAACTCAGTTTCCTGTCCTCGTGCAGTTATGTCGCAACGGAAATGACAATGATGGAGGAGGGTCACGTCTTAGAAGCGCAAAGCACGCTCATCAACATGAACATAAACATCAGTGCAGATGTGCAGATGACTCAACAAATCAACAGTGATTATGAAAGTATCTCCAACTGCATAGTTAAAATACCACAAGTAAACATTCAAATATTTGGACGCTAACTGGAAATGCACACCAGAATGTGTATATTTCATTTAACTACATAGCTGCAGCAGTTTGTGTTTGCCTGTCTACCCTCACATGCCCACTTGAGTTGAGATTCAGCTTTACGTGAGTAAATACACAACCGCAGTGTGATGCTTCAAGCTCCATTTGACAGCTGGTAAACAAAACAATAACTACCGGCATGGACGCGTGATAAGCTGCTAACTCGAGGGGAAGAAATCATTTTCAAAATGCCTCCTTTTTTATGGCTGCTTAGAAATAATCACATTTATATTTGAAT